TTGATTTGGAGTCAATATGTTTATGGTCACATAAACATGTCACAAGGCTATAGGACAAATTTTGCCACAAGGCACTTGTATTACTTGAACCTGATAATAATAATAATAGTTAGAACTTATGTAGTGCTTCAAGATTTGGAAAACGCTTTATTTCTATGATGTCATTTCACCCTCACAATCACCCTGGGAGGTGGGTGCTATGATTATGTCCATCTTACGGATGAGGAAACTGAGTTTGAGAAAGGTTAAGTCACTTGCCCAGAATCACAGGGTTAGTTAATATCTGAGGGGGGACTGAAACTCAGGTCTCCCACACTCCAAAGGCAGTGCTCCATTCACTGTTACCTATTGCTGTTGTGTAGTAATTTTTTCAGTTGTGTCCAACTCTTCATGACCCCATAGAAAGTTTTCTTGGCCAAGATACTGGAGTGGTTTACCATTTCCTTCTCCGGCTGATTTTGCAGATGAGGATTCTGAGGCAAACAAGGTTAAGTGACTTGCCCAGGGTCACCCAGCTAGTAAGTTCCTGAAGCCGGATTTAAACTCACGTCTTCCTTTAAACCTCCAGTCCAGGTGCTCTATCCTCTGTCCCAGAGGCAGCCCATTAACTGGCTTCCTGACCTTCAGAGCATAGAGAAACAAGCTCAATGCTACAAGGCAAGTCTTCTCAGTTCAATTCAACCTATGTATCTGATGTTTCCGTAGTTCTATGTTTGCAAAGCGTTTAAATACATTATCTTATTTGAGCATCACAATGGTTCTGTGAGGGAGGTACTGTAGGTATTATTATCCCAATTTGAACAGATGAAGAAAATGAGTCTCAGAACTGCTGCAAAACTTGCCCGGAGGCACACAGCTAGTAAGGGGTTGAGGTGGGAATCGAACCTAGGTCTTCCTTCAGATACAGAGTGGTGAAGTGGGAGGAGTGCTGGGTTTGGAGTTGGAGGGCCTGGGGCAATTCTGGTTCTGGAACTTGTTAGCTGTGTGACCCTAAGCAAGTCACTTCACATCTCTGGGCCTCAGTGCTTCATCTTCAGAGTGAGGGGATTGGCCCACATGTTTATTTCCTATCTCTCAATCTCTCATCCTGATTGCAGGTCCAGCCTGTTTCCTACCATATCAAGCAATGTCTCAACTGAGCACAAAACGTTGTTCTTAGGCAATAAGAATGCTATGTTGTCTTAGTTTGAGTTGAAAAAGACCTTAGAGACCTTTGGGCCCCCCCCCAATTCATTTTACAGGTTATGAAATTGAGGTACAGAGAGGTAAAGAGATAACTAGGCAACATAGTGAGTAAAAAGTAGGACCTGGAGGCAGAAAGACCTGAGTTCAAATTTTGACTCAAGCACTTACTAGTTGTGTGATCCAAGGCAAATCACATAACTAAGGTCTCCCTCAGTTTTCTCATCTATAAAATGGGATGATATTAGTGCCTTCCTCTGAGGATTGTTTTGGGAATCAAATGCAATAACATATGGAAAACACTTGGCAAATAAATACATACGTGTGTGTGTGTGTGTGTGTGTGTGTGTGTGTGTGTGTGCGCATGTGTCTCTGGTAGGATTGGAACATGGGTCTTCCTGCCTTCAAGTGCAGCTCTCTGACCACCAACCAGCCCACAGATATTTCTCTCAAAGTGGTGAGTGTAGTGAAGGAAAACACATTCCCAAACAGTATCTATAGCACACGGATATTTGATAAAGTACAAAAGGAGAGGTCTAGGAAAAGTTGAGAAATTTGATGAGAAAACGATGATTTTCCTTTGATCAATCAATAACTTTGATTAAGCAGCTCCTATGTTCCAGGCACTGTGCTACAGTAAGCCACCAGGGGGCTCAGGCCCAGGATCACAGAGTAGGTAACACCTGAGCTCTTCCTTCAATGAAGGGAAGGCATTCTATGGCTGGAGATTAGAGGTAGGAAGAGTCCATTCCACAGAAGAAGTCCAAGACACGATGTGGAAATGGGGGAAGCCATAGAGGCTTAAAGACAACTCCAGTTCCTTTTATTTTTCTGGAATGTACATAAAGGAGAGTAATGGGAGAGAAAGCCAGAGGTGTAGGTCACAGCCCAACTCTGGAAAATCTTCAGTGCCAAGAAGTGGCATTTCAAAATTTTCTTGTGGCATGCAATGGGGTTTCCCTGATGGCTTTTGGTAGAAGAATGGCATGCTCAGAGTGGTATAAGAGGAGGATAACTTTGCATTGCTGAATGATGGAATGGAGAAGTGATGGACTGGAGGCAGGGAGACCAGTTAGGAGGCCATTGCATTCATCTAAGTGAGAATCAATGAGGAATCAGAGAAGAGTGTTTGGAACTGGAGGGTAGAGGAATTAGAAATGGAGGAGAGAGGCCAGACTTTGAGGGTGGGGATATATCAGTGAGGCAAACTCCATGGGGTTTGGCAATAGACTAGATATTTGAGGTGGGGGAGACAGAGGACGCAAACATGGCTTGAAGATTATGACATTGGGAAACTATTGGCACCAGCAACATGAACAGGGAAGGTAGGCCCCTGGAAGGGCCATGTTTTGGGGAGATGATGTGTTTATATATTGATCTAGAGTTCAAAGTGACTCAAAGGCTCCCTAGTCCAATCCCCCCATTTCATGGATGAGGAAATTGAGGCTCAGAGATGATGAATGACTTCTCAAGGACACACAGTTAGTATGCTTCAGGGGTGGGATTTGAACCCAGAGTCTCTAACACTAAATCTGATATTTCCAGTAAACAATGTTGTTTTTGAAATTTGCATGTATGGGACCTTCAGGGTATCCAAGTATAGAAAAGTATCATGCAGTTAGAAATAGAGGAGAGGAGTTCCAGGCAAAAGTTACTAGTTAGATAAGGGAGTCATTGGCATACGAGTGACAATTTAAGGCTTGGGACAAAGTTAACCCTAAGGCTGAAGCCATAGAGAGGGCAAAAATATTGGTACCTGCAATCTTCCCCACACATTAAAAAAGCTAAGAGAAAGAAAAAAATCCCTTGTCAAAAAATAAGCATAGTCAAGGAAAAACAAATCTACATGGTCTCCATATCTGAAGAAGTATTTCTCTTTCTGTACGTCATGTCCATTTCCTTTCAGGAGATGGATAGCCTACTTTATCACCAGGTCTCTGCTGACCTGTTTGGTCATTGAATTAATGAGTTCTTTCAAAACTGTTTACTCTAATTGTTTTGCTGTCTTTGTATAAATTAATCTGGTTCCACTCACTATTGATTCAGGAAATGCAAATTGAAAGAATTCTGAAGTGCTACCTTATACCTATTAGACTGGCTAATAGGACAGAAAAGGAAAATGACAGATGTTGGAGGGGATGTGGGAAAAATGAGACTTTAATGCACTGTTGGTAGAGTTATGAATGGATTCAACTTGGAACTATGTCCAAAGGGCTATAAAACCATGCATACCCTTTGATCTAGCAATACCATTACTAGGTTTGTATCTCCAAAAAGAAAAAAAGAAACAAAAAGGAAAAGGTCCCATATGTACAAAAATATTTATAGAAGCTGTTTTCCGGTGGTAAAGAAAAAAGGAGTGGCTGAAGATATTGCGGTATATGATTATATTGGAATATTATTATACTACAGGAAATGGTGAGAAAGATATTCTCAGAAAAACCTGGAAAGACTTACATGGGCTGATGCAAAGTCAAATGTACTGTGTACAAAGTAATAGCAGTACTGTAAGATGATCTTACCTATTCTCAGCAATACAACAATCCAAGACAACTCTGAAGGACTTATGGTGAAAAATTCTATCCATCCCCAGAGAAAGAATTGATGGTGTTTGAATACAGACTGAAGCATACTTTTTTTACTTTCTTTATTTTTCTTGAGTTTTTTTCCCTTGCCTATGTCTTCTATCACAACATGACTATTATGGATATGTTTTCCGTGACTGCACATGTATAACCTATATTAAGTTGCTTGCTGTCTCAAGGGGGGAGTGAAGAGGGAAGAAGGGAGAAAGTGGAACTCAAAGTTTTGAAAATGAATGATAAAATTGTTTTTACATGTAACTGGGGAAAATAAAATTCTAAATAATAGCTAAAATATACATTTATCTGGTTCTTCTCTTTTCATACTGCATCAGTGTGAAGATTCCCCAGATTCTCTGCAATCATCTCTGGTGGCATTGAGCCAGTTACTCATTCTTTTCCATACGATAATAGTCTATTACTTCATATATCATAGTTCATTTAGCCATTAGACAGCTAATAGGAACTCCTTTAGATTCTATGTCATTTTGTCTTATCTTGTAGTCTTATCTTTCTTTCCCTTTTAAGTGCCCCACCAGGCTCAGGAAGTTTGTTTTGTTTGTAACTATCCCCCCCAACCCCCACCCCAGCATTATATTCCCTCTTAATCTTTCTCCCTTTCCCACTCCCTCCCCTGAGTTTCATTATTTCTATGCTGAATTGATTGGTGTATGCCTGTGTGCTCACTTCTGCTTTGTCTATTTCAGATAAGAATGACATTCATCTGATATCTTTCCCCCCATTCCTTCCTCCAAATTTGTATACTCTTCTCATACTCTCCAATAATGAGAAATTCCAAGTCTATTCCCTTCTTCTTCCTTTCTACACAAGTATCTTCTTTTTATTCTTCCTTCTTGTTACTCCTTAAGTTCCTTGGAATGGAGTCAATCCACTCTCAAGATCTCTGTTTTTTTTCCTCAACTCCTCCAATACTCTTTGAAGATATTAAAACTCTAAAGCAACACCTCCCTTAGGATTGGAACTATATTTCCTTTAGCATATTGTGGACTCCTTGAGGGTGTGCTCTTGTCTTCTCCATCAGTCTTAGTACTTTCTTACATCAGTCGAATTTTATTGACATTTACAAATGCCAGCTGTGTGAATGACATCGTACCAGTCTCCACCTCCCCCAGTCACTGATCTGGGCCTCCCCAACAACACCTGACAGTGACTATACTCAAGAGTTTCCTGTCCTTACCCACAGGCTCAGTCATATCCACCAGTCAAGGGCAGGTTCTGCCTGGTGACAGCCATCCTAGATGGCAATGATAGGAAGACGGGGCCTTGGCACACCAATCCCAACTTGGGTATGGATAAGAGATAGAGAGTCATTATGTATATAGGGATTTCGTTTCATTTTTGGGACCTGCAAATGGCACAGCCTTTGGGGACTAATGTTCCTCTTTGCTGGGGTGAGATCAAGTTAAGACCTGTTGAAGAGACCAAGAATCTGCCTACAGAATAAAAATGGAGAACCAGAGAAGGAGGAAAGGATCACTTACATCCTGGCTGCTTGTGCTAAGTGTGTTTGCTTTGAGAGAATACCAGATAGGTGAGTCTAGGGGGACAAGGTGGGTGGGAGGGAGGGTTAAAACAATGAGGGTCTCTCATTTTTGATGATGTGTTTGATAAGATAGACATAGCCCCTGTGTCCATGAAGTCCCTGGTATGATGGGGAGGTAAGATATTAAAAAAACCAAAGCTAAAGAGGCAGAAAAATAAGGACATAATTGAAAATATCTGGACAGAGCTGGCAATGATTCTGAAATAGCCCAGGATCCAATTTAAATGCTTCTTTTTAACATGCAAGTTTCTTTGTAAGATTGAACATGACTTGAAAGAAGAGATGTAACAGGATACTCCCAAGCCACTCCTTCATGGAGGTAGGAGATCCCCAGGTGTTACATATTGTACATATTTTTAGACTTTTTCAATATATTTATTGGTTGTGTTGATTTTCCCTACTTTTTTCTTTTTTCTTTTTTTCTTTTTTTCTTTTTAGGCAATTGGGGTTAAGTGACTTGCCCAGGGTCACACAGCTAGTAAGTGTGAAGTGTTTGGTCTGAGGCTGGATTTGAACTCAGGACCTCCAGTTTTCAGGGCTGGTGCTCTATCTACTGTGCCACCTAGCTGCCCCTCCCTTTTTTCTTTTTCTTTTTTTTTTTAAAATACTATTTGTTTTATAGAATGGTTTGAGAGGAAGGAAGGATATGGGGGAAACTGATGATGAAAAAAAAAAGACATCAGTAAAAGCCTATATACAAAAAGCTCTTTCTAACCTGTCCCCTTTCTATTCTTCCAGCCTTCTTATACTTTATATACACCCCTCTACAAACTGTATAACACAGCTATATAGCTTTGTTGGCCTGCTTGCAGTTCTCGGAAAATGACCATCCGTCTCCTTTCTTTGGCTCGCCTACATTCCTGGAATGCTCTGCTCTGCCTGCTCACAGCCACCTCTTGGTTTCCCTTGATTCCTTCAAGACCTAGCTCAACTGAGACTTCCTGCAAGAGGCTTTCCCCAGGCCCCTCAGCTGCTAGAGGCTTCTCCACTCTGGCTTTTTGTTGTTCCATTGTATCTGACCCTTTGCGACCCCATTTGGGGTTTTCATGGCAAAGATACTGGAGTGATCTGTCCTTTCCTTTTCCAGTGAATCCAGTGGATCCATTTTGTCAGGTAATTAGAGATTAAGTGACTTGTCCAGGGTCACACAGTTAGGAAGTATCTGAGGCTGGATTTGAACTCAGGTTTTCCTGACTTCAGGCCCACTGCTCTTTCCACTGAACCATGAGTCACTTCCTTCCATTTAACTTGCGTGTTATTGTTCTTCAGTTGTGTCTGACTCTTCATGATCCCGTCTGGGGTTTTCTTGGCAAAGATATTGGAGCAATTTGCTATTCCTTTCTGCACCTCATTTTACAAAAGAGGAATCTGAGGCAAATAGGGTTAAGTGACTTGCCCAGGGTCACACAGCTAATAAATGTCTGAGGGCAGGTTGGAATGTAGGAAGATGAGTCTCCCTGACTCTAGGTCCAGCACTCTATCCACTGCAGTGTCACCTATCTGCCCCTTAATTTATGCATGCCTAGTTATTTGTATATCTCTCCCACTGGAATATGAGCTCCTGGAAAGCATGGGCTGTTTTTAACCTTTCTTTGTATCCCCAGCATTTAGCACAGTGCCTAGTACATCATAAGTGTTTAATACATGCTTGTCAACTGACCAACTAATCCGAACCAAGTAGAGTTAAACAGAGACGTTTTCCAGAAGAATGCCAATGTCCTTGAAGGGACAGGGAGGAAGGAGCCCAGCAATCCTTGGGAGAGGCTTTAAAAAGACAATGGAAGAAAAAAAAGAAGACACAGAGAAATGACCTTTAAGGTAGTAGGGTCTAATGGACAAAAATGTCATTGGTTGCTAATTTGGGAGCTTAGTCCCACATCTATATCTAGATTTGTATCTATATAGACACATATATAATGTCATCATCATTCTTTTTTAGTTTTGTTCACCTTCTGTTGAATGGATCATTCATTCCTTTTTTACACTAATGTGAAGCCGGTGATTGAGCAAGGCAGGTCCCAAAGTGAGTGTCTTTTCTGAGCCTTGGGTAAATCAGAGAGTATCGGGCAGCAGCGTTTGTGTTGGGAATCCCATAAACACTAGACGGACAAAGGGAATTTCAGGTGTCGCATGTAAAAGGTCACCTATCCTCACTGGTGGTATTCGAAGATTCATGATAGCTAAAATCAATGTCTTCTGACTGAAAAGTCAGAGTAATTCTTTGGAGTTCAGGGGGAATTCACTACATTTCCATTGGTGTTTAGGTTTTAGAGAAGGATGTCAGGGCACCAGCCCCATGAGAAGGAGAAGTGGGAGCCAGCAAAGGTTTCTTAGGAAACAGGAACAATTTGGTGTTTGTCATGTTTGCCTCGGTCATCTCCGAGGCAGGCCACTCTTACTGTGCTTGAGTTCCTCAGCCCAGGACAAAATACTCAGATGCTAGCTACAGGCTTTCATGTAATTGTGAGCAGAGGTAGTAAATATCTGGGGGCCAGTTCTGTTAATACCCTTGTGAGAAAAAAGATGAGCAAGAAGGAGTCAATGTCCACATGGGCCTGATCATCTTCCTGTCTATTCACTTTTCTATTCCCCCCGGACCCCCTTGATGCATCCTTGGGCTTCATAGTATTGTTGCTCAGATGTTTCAGTCATGTCCAGCTCTTTGTGACCCCATTTGGGATTTCCTTGGCAAAGATACTGGAGTGGTTTGCCATTTCCTTCTTAAGCTCATTTTATAGATGAGGAATCAAGGCAAACAGGGTTAAGTGACTTGCCCAGGATCACAAAGCTAATAATGGTCTGATACTGGATTTGAATTCAAGTCCTCCTGACTCAAGGCCCAGTGCACTACCCATAGCTCAGCCTGACTGCCATGGGGCTCAGTAGTATATGCATGCTATTTCAACCAACATGTGTATTCTATTGTGGTAGACACTCCTCACTTACCTTGACCCAGGTAAGGACAGATCACTTTGCCTCTTTCCTCTTTGTTCAGGAGAAATAATTAAATGTCGCCTCCCTAGTTCTAGATATGATGTTTCTATTCAGGCAGTCTGAGAGGACATTAACTGTATTTGCCTGCCATAAGACATTTTGGACTGATATCGACATTGAAGTCCATTGAAACTATTCACATTTTAAAACATTTTGATGATATTTTGTCTTTGTAACAGTAATTCCCTCCCTACTCAAGTCTGAGCCTTCTTTTGTGACGAAGACTGATCATTAAACAAAGTCAAATAGTACAGAACCTTTAGCTGACAATATAACCACAATATGTTCCAGACACTGTGCTAAGTGCTTTAAAATTATTATCTCCATTGATCCTCACAGCAACCCTAGGAGATAGAAAAGAAGGGAAGAGAAGAGAAGAGGGACCAAAGCAGGGCTTTGAGGGAAAGCCATGGTTAGTGAGCATGACCTGGATGAAGATCCACCTGAGGAGTGGTCAAACAGTTAAGAGGAAATAAGTGCATGAAAAATTAGAGAGGAGAGAGGATTTGGAAAGAAATGGTGATCAATGTTGTCAAAGGTAGTAGAAAAGTCAAGAAGGAATATGACTGAGAAAAAGCCATTAGATTTGGCAATTAAGAGACCACTGGTGACTTTGGAGAGAGCAGTTTCAGTGGAATGATGAAGTCAAGAGCCAGACTACAGAGGGTTCACAATCAAATGAGAAGAAAGAAAGTGTAGTCACCAAGTGTAGATGGTTTTCTCAAAGAGTTAGATCAGAAGAGGAGAAGAGTTACAATAACAGGGATGGTAGGATCGAGTAGGATTAATATTTTTAGATGAGAAGAGAGATATAGATATATTTTTAGGCTTGAGAAGGAACCAGTATATATTATACATTATTGCCTGATGATACTTCATTATATTCAAGTAGAAAGCTATCTCACACCAAGAATTTAAACTATTAGGCAATGCGACAGTCTAAAAAATTGCCATGGAATGTGTTTGAGTACCTTCAAAGATGGAAATGACAAGTGGCAAATATGGAGGTGGGAATGAGCCTGGAAGTAACCCCTTTGCTATCTAATTTTAGGACTCTTAGGTAATAGAAGATAACTAAAGAACCTAGAGACAGCTCTACTCAGCCAGATCTACCTATTAATTTAACATTGGGTCACAGCACAAAAGAACCATGTCATGGTGTCTGTTGCCCCAACAGACAGCTCCCACCATCTTCCAAGACAGATACGCAACTTAAAATATCTATTTAAATTCAACCTATTAACATCATGTTGGCTCCCAATACTATCATCTGATGTGTTATCAGTCCCATCTATGTTTCTATCATCTTCAAGTTCATAGAAATATTCTCCATAATTGTATAAATCACTGATAAAAATGTTGATGAGAAGAGGGCCAAGCTTTCTTGGGATAATGTACCAAAGATCCACCTCCATGTTGACACTGAGCATTTAATCAGAGCTCTTTGGATCTACTCTTCAACCATGTTTGAATCTATCCAAATGTCTAATACCCATTCCTTCATTTCATCTACAAAGATACCATAAAAGGTTTGTTAAATACCTTGCTGAAGTCCAGGCATACAGTGTCTACAGCATTCTCCTAATCTATTGGCCAAATGATGGGGTCAGAAGATAGATTGCTGAGGTATAAGAAAAGTGGGAGAGGAAATGGAGAACCTAGTGTGAACAGCTTTCTCATGAAATTTAACCATGAAGGTTAAGAGAAAGGAGAAAGAGAAAGAGGAGAAAGAGTTATAAAATGATAGCAAGAATGAATGGATTGAAGATATTACACTTCAGCTGAAATAACGAAGGCAGGGTTAGCATTCATGATCTCAGGCAAAGCAAAAGTAAAAATATACCTAATTAAGAGAGAGAATCAGGGAAACTAAAATGTTGCTAAAAAGTATTATAGACAATGAAGTAATATCAAAAAAGGGCAAATTTGTGTGATAAATGCTTCATTTCTCAAATATGTAGGGAACTGAGTTAATTTTTTCACTTAATGTATTTCCCCAATTACATGTTAAAACAATTTTTAAACATTTTTTCAAAGTTTTGAGTTCCAAATTCTATCCCTTCCTCTTTCCCCTACCCCCTCCCTGAGACAGTAAGCAATCAGATATAGGTTATACACACGCAATCATGTACAACATTTCCACATTAGTCATTTTGTACAGGAAGGGCTGAGTTAGATTTATGAAAATAAATGGCCAAAGGATATGAACAGGCAGTTTTCAGGAAAATAAATCAAAGCCATCTGTAGTCATATGGAAAAAAAACCTCTCTAAATCACTTTATTAGAGAAACGCAAATGACTCTGTCACCATCTTACACCTGTCAGAAATGGCAAATGGTGGAGGGGACATGGGAAAATAGGTCTGATAAACTATTGGTGGAGTTGTGAGCTGTTCCAATCATTCTGGAGAACAATTTGGAAATATGCCCAGAGGACTATAAAACTTTCCATGCCTTTTCACCTAGAAATACCAGTACTAGGTCTATACCCCAAAGAGAACAAAGAAAAAACAAAGAGACCAGTATGTACAAAATATTAATAGGAGTTCTTTTTGTGCTGGCAAAGAATTAGAAATTGAGCTGATACTCATCAACTGGGGAATGGCTGAATAAGTTGTGACATATGATTGTGACAGAGTACTATTGTGCTACCAAAAAAGCAACAAGGGGGGGTGGTTTCAGGAAAAAACAAAAAGGCAAGACTTGCATGAACTGATGCAAAGTGAAGCGAGGGGAATCAGGAAATCTTTGTGCTCTATAACAGCGATGTTGTAATGATGGTCATCTGTGAAAGACTCAGCTACTCTGATGAATACAATGAGCCAAGATGAAAAATGCTGTCCATCTCCAGAAAAAGAACTGATGAACTCTGAATGGGGAAGTTCTCAATAAATGACTTCATCATTTTTAATCAAGTTTATGGCAAGGTCCTCATCTGAATGGGAGGGGAAGAGGTCCCATGGGAAGGTTGAGGAGAGATGCATTCGGAAAAACTGTATAGATGCTGGGATAACAAATCAACTACGGATGATTAGCAGGATTGTTTTGCTAAAGAGAAGGCCCAGTTGTAGGGCTGTATCTCAAAGTGATCATACAAATGGGAAAAGGACCTGCATGTACAAAAATGTTTATAGCAGCTCTTTTTGTGGTGGCCAAGAATTGGAAATTGAGAGGACGTCCATCAATTGGGGAATGGCTGAATGAGTTGTTGTATATGAATGTAATGGGATACTATTGTGTTATAAGAAATGATGAGTAGGCAGACTTCAGAAAAACCTGGAAAGACTTGTATGGTCTGATGCTGAGTGAAATGAGCAGAACCAGAAGAACATTGTACACAGTAACAGCCACATTGTGTGATGACTAACTTTGATAGACTTAGCTCTTCTCAGCAATGCAAGGATCTAAGCCATCTCTAGAAGTCTCATGATGGAAAATGCTATCCACATCCAGAGAAGGAACTGTGGAGTTGGAATGCAGATTGAAGCATACTATTTGCTCTTTTTTTTCTTCTGTTTTGTTTTGTTTCCTCTTTCTTGTGGTTCCTCCTATTGGTTCTAATTCTTCCTTACAACATGACTGGTGTGAAAATATGTTTAATAGGAATATATATGTAGATCCTATATCAGATTGCATGCTGTCTTGGGGAGGGAGGGGGAGAAAAATTTAAAACCCAAAAGCTTATGGAAAGGATTGTTGATAAATCAAAATAAATACATTAATGAAAAAAGAGAAATAAAAAAAATAAAGTGAAGGCCTGGGCAAGACGAGGTAAAGTAAATTTATAGTAGATCCAATGAATGCAGTTTTGTAGTTTCAGAAGCATGTGACTGGAAATGGTGAAGGTAGATGGTGAGAGCAAACCAGAGTTAAGCTGCAACAAGGCGGGATAGGTGATAGGATGAGGGGGGAGGAAATTCTGGGTTAAAAGATAGCATAAAGTTGAACTAGTTCACCAACGGGTCAGGATAGGGAAGGGTGGAAAGTATAATCAACATAGGGATGTATGGCATCCTAGGAAAGTGTACTTAGCCAACACTGAGGTCTGTGAAAGAACTCAGTGGTAAAGGGAATGGAATTCACAGTGATGACAAAGAAGACAGTTAGTGATTGTAAAATGGAACAAGAAAAGATTGTGGAATTTCTGAATTCATGACAAGATCAAGGCTATGCCCACCTCTGTATGAGGTTGAGTTGGATTGGAGGAGTAGGCCATGGAAGCTGAGTGGATTAAGGAACTTGGAAGTCAGGCAGTTTGCAGAAGCTAGCACATGGGAGTTCTGATAGAATCGGAAAGCTCCACTTGCAGATGCCTTGTTCAACCCCTGGTTACAATAGAATCTAGAGCTAGAAGTAGTTTCAGCAATTATATAGTCATGGAAGCATAGAATTTAGAGTTTAGAGAACCTTACAGAGCCCTTTAGACCAGGCCACTCATTTTATATATGAGTGAAGCCTTGAGAAAGTGATTTGCCTCAAGATAACATATAGGAGATGAAAGAGCCAGATGATTGATTTCTCAGACTTTAAATCCCTCATTATTTAATGCCCTCTTTTTTTTCTTTTTTTCTTTTCGGTGAAGAAATCAGGGTTAAGTGACTTGTCCAGGGTCACACAGCTAGTAAGTGTTATGTGTCTGAGGCCAGATTTGAACTCAGGTCCTCCTGACTCCAGGGCCAGTGCTCTATCCACTGTGCCACCTAGCTGCCCCCTATTTAATACCCTCTTGATAAAGCCCATGATTATACATCTTTTGGGGATCATGAAAAAAAAAACACAGTAAGCATGTCAAAGGCTATTAGGTTGAAGGCTTCATATGCTTGGATCTTGAGACAATTTAGCAAGTCATTGACAAGCCCATGGAGAAAATACTAATGAGAGATGCCCTTATTGTTTTCTTTTCAGAGGGACTCAGAACTACCAGAGCACAGGAACATACGCACATGGAAAAAAGTCCTGAAAAACAGGCAAGTCTACAAAGTAAGTGAACTCACTGCCCTGAGTCCTCCCTGACTCTTCCCTTTCTCATCTCATCTCATATTACTCTGTATCCGCAGAAGTTTGGTGGGACAGTCTTGTCTATACCAGTATTGCCTCTCCAACTTAAATTCACTGACTGAATATGACCCCAGCATGGGGGTGCATACTCTGTATGTTGACTCCACTTGTTCTTTATCACTCCCATGGCTGAGCTACATTCCCTTCCTTTCCACACTAACACCCCTGGAATTCATGCAGCCCATCATACTCATAGAAAGATAAGATTAGGGTTGGCAAAAATGCGTGTAGCATAAAGGACAAGCCTCTATTTATACCAATTTATCAAAGGGAATCCCATATTCAGCCTGCTGTGTGCACAGTTCTAGTCTAGGTACTGAGGAAATCTCAGCACCCTTCAGTGTTCCAGATTATCTCTAGAGACAGTCACACTGGCTGCCCAATCTTAGTTAAACTACTAATACAGGGAGGGGAAAGGAGTCATATAGGAAGACCAATCTGGAGACCACACATTTCACCTCCAATGCTCTCTTCTCCTATCCTGTTTTGCAGCTCACCACAGGCATGAGTGTCAATTCACTGCAGTGGGGAAAACTTCTCTCTTGGACTATACTGTACTTCATGTTATTGATGATGTGGATGTGTGCAGCTATGACAAACAGAACAAACAATTTGTGGTCAAAGAATCCTGGATGTCTCTGGCATTAGGGGAAGAATTTATTCAGCATAAGAAAAAAGTGATTTCAGAAAGTGAAATGTATTTCCGATTGGCCCTCACGTTATTATCACGGAACGACACCAAGAGCGACAGTAAGTCAAACTAATTGAATCCCACCTGACTTTCTCTCAATCTCTAACCAAGTTTCTCCCTTCCTTGAGTAATGGTCCCATCATTATGAATACAGCACCAGAAGATAATAGGTCTAGAACTTAAAAGGACTTCAGAGGTCAGCTGATCCAACTCTGTCATTTTACAGATGAGGAAACTGAGGCCCAGAGAAGTTAAGTGACTTGCTATAGGTCATTTGATTGAGTATGCAAAGGCTGAGATCACTGCAACTTTCTTCCCTGGAAAAAGGAATGTGAGCCAAAATATGGATAAATCTCTGAATACTTGGATTTTTGTCTTGTATCCTTATGGCTTGAGTCCTATACTTGTGTTTGAGTTTTGTCTGACAAATACATCTCTCCCATTCTCATCCCTATCCCCAGTGGGGAGAAAAGGAGTAGGATCCAAGCAAACGATCTCCACATGTTGGTGAAAAGTTCAAACACACTGTGTCAACTTCAGTAGAATCATATCTCATGCCTCATGCTCCATCAAGTTTGCCACAGAAATGTAATAATCATAAGGATGAACCAACAAAGCTCTTGTTTGACCTCTCCATATTTCTGGCACCTAACACAGAGAAAGTGCTTGGTTCAGGTTTGGTGAATTGGATTAGACTGGACTGTGGCTTTTGCTTCAAGCAATTCTGCCTCATAGGATAATGTTGTTATTGTTGTTTGTCCTTTGTTGTGAAAGAGAACCATGAGATCTGGGAGGTGATGCCATGACATGCAAGTGAATTGGATTTAAGTGAGGGAGGGCAGGGAAAAGTCATAGGATGATAGATTCAGAGCTGGAAGGAGCCTTCAGGGCAAGAAGAATTTTGCAATGATCTTCAAGCTGTGTGCAGTGTTTGTATTTCTGCTAGCACAGAGTTAATATCTACATAAGTACGACAAATAAAATGGTCTCCGTCTCTGAAAAGAAATTAAAAAGATTAAAGTAACACATCTTTATTCTCTGGGTTCTCAGGGAGAAAGAAAATAATCTTTTGTAAGTGATGCTACTTAGAATGGAAAGAAAGAAGAAGAAAAAAATACAGGACATCAAGGCAGCATTAAATGGATCTGAACAGTACTAGGACACACTATATAGAGGCAGAGGGAAATTCTTACTTGTGTCTAGATGGAGCATAGAAGGATGTCAGTCAGCAAGTATTTATTAGGCACTTAATATAAGCCAGGCACTGTGCTAAGTGCTGGAGGAATACAAAGAAAAGTAAAATCATCGTCCCTATCTTCAAGGAGCTCACATTCTAATGGGACAGACAAGACACAACTATGTATGTACAAGATACATATTGAGTAGGTGGGAGGTAATGACAAAGGTAAGGCATTGGATTAAGGGAGATAAGGAAAGGACTTCTATAGAAGGCGGAATTTGAGATGAATCTTGATGGAAGCCAAGCAAGTTAGGAGGAAGTGAGCTTGAAGAATCTTAAGCACAACCTTGCTGGCATGTGAAATGAGAGCAGGAAGTGAGGCATTCTGGATATGAGGGACAACCAGAGAGTGCAGAGATGGAGTGTCTAGTTCAAGGAACAGCAAATAGTTCAGCAAAGTTGAATTGTAGAATGTGAGATGGAAGTACAATGTAAGAACTGGAAAGGTAGGAACGGTCAGGTTGTGAAGGGCTTGAAATACTGCACGACTTGGTATTTAATCCTGGAAGTTAAAGGAAGCAACTAGAATTTATGGAGTAACTGAATGACATGGTCAGCCGTATGCTCTAGGGACATTGCTTTGGCAGCTCAATGGAGGGTAGAATTTGAGATTTGAGATTTGACACAATGTGACTAATTAATTGGGATGCTAGTGCAATAGTCCTGGTGAGAGCTGATGAGGACCTGCTCTAGTGTGGTGGTCATGTGAGTAGAGAGCAGGAGATGTATACAAGAGATCTCAAGAAGGTCTAAATTACAAGAATGGACAACATACTGGATAAAAAGGGTCAGCGTGAGTGATGAGCTAAGGACCAATCAATCAATTAGTACAGTATTTATGAAGTACTCACCCCTGCACTCAGCACTGATACAAATAATGACAAAATCCCTCCCCACAAGGAGCTTACATTCTAATGGACAATATAAGTGCATATTAAAATACAAACAGTGTAAAAACAAATGAACAAATACAAACACATGCAAAGAAGTTAAATGCAAGGGAATTTGAGAGGGAGGGCAATAGTGGTTGAGAGGATCAAGAAATGATTCACACACAAGATGGCACGTGAGCTGCCCTTAAAGGAAAAGAGAGACTGTATAAGACAGAGGTAAGAAGGGGCACATTCCAGGCTTGGGGGACCACCAGTGCAAAGGTACAAAGGTAGGAAATGGAATTTCATGCTTGAGGAAAACAGAAGCCAGTTTGGGTAGAAATAATAACATTGGAAAGAACCTAGAAGACATTGCTAAGGAAGTCTGAGGCCAAAAATGGAAGACAGGACAGGTGTTGCAGCACAGGTGGTGTTTTATTACTACCTCCTATTGAAGGTGGGGGAATTTAGGAGAGAGAAATGCACATTTGGGAGGGAAAAACCTATGACTAAAGTTGTTTTCTGAGAATGTAAGATGATAGATAGAGAATAATAGGTGATAGACATCTCCTGCCCATTGCAAATGGTGCTTGCTTTTAATTTTAGACATGTACTTGTCTCATATAAAGAGTGTGGCAGAGCGCTTTGTTTCTCAATTTTTGAGAATAATTTGTAGAATATTAGTATTAGTCATTCTTTAAAAGCTTGTTAGACTCTGTTTTTAAATCTACTGAGACCATAAATAATTTTTGGTAGCTCCTTTACAACCAGCTCTATTGCTTCTCTGAGATTAGGTTTTTTTGAGGCCTCTATTTGGTCTTTTGTTAGTTTGGGTATTTTGGGGGTTTTTGAAGTTATTCCTTTACTTCTGTTGTGTTCTCAGTTTTGATGACATATAGCTGCATGTTTATTTATTTTTACTTATTTTGGCTTTGTTGTGATTTCACCTTGTTGGATGGTGAATTTGTGTATTTTGGGGTTTGCTGTTTTTTAAATTAAGTTGTCCAAAGGTTGATCAAATTTTAAAGATCTTTTCAAAGAACCAGACTTTAGTTTTGCTTATCACTTCTACGGTCTTTTTTGTTTCCCAATTTATCTAGTTCTCTTTTAACTTTCAGTATCTACTTCTTTTCATTTATTTGGAGTTCATCTGTTGATTTTTTAACTGTTAAAATTAATATTCAACATATTAATCCTCTCCTTTCCCGGTTGGTTAATGTATCTTCTAGAGACATAATTTCCCCCCAAGTACCTGTTTTGCTGCATCACAGAAATTTTGGTATGTTGTTCATCATTGTCATTTTCTTCTACACAATCACTCATGTTTTCTGTAATCTGTTCTTTGACCCATTCATTATTTAAGATTTTCTTGCTGAATATTCATTTGGTCTGTGTCTTTTGCTTGTGCTCACTGATTATTATTTTGATTGAAATTATAGATAGAGAGTATTTACTATTTCTGAATCTCTGTGCCTTCACATATAGTGAATTTTTATAAAATTTTGATGTGTGGTGGGAGTGATAACAGTCAGAATAACCTGAGGTGTTTAAGGGGAAAAAAGGCAAGAGAAATGTGTTGGTTTTCTAAAAGTTATCATAGAAGGAAAAAATGAGATCAAAGAAGGTATAAGAACTTTTCTTGGGGCAGATAGATCAGTGATCACTGATGACAAAATGTGTAGCTGCCTAATTCTCACTTTGTTTTTTGTTTTCTCTGAAAAATGTTCAAAGAATGACATTTATGCTAGAAATGACATACCAAAAAAAAAAAACCCAACAGGAAGTCAGCATCTACAATAAATAAGGAAATAATAAGGGAAAACTTAGATGCTTTTAATGAAGCCATGGCACCATCCCAGACAAATCACATTCTCTGGTCCTGAAAGAACTGTCAGATATAATTGGTGAGTCTCTGTTAGAGTTAGGTGAAGGTCATGGAAAACATGATAGGAACCATAAGATTAGATAATGCTGTATATTGTTCAGATTTGAAGAGAAGAGAAGAGAAGAGGGGAGAGGAGGAAGGAGAGGAGAGGAGAGAAGAGAAGAGAAGAGAAAAGGAAGAGGAGAGGAGAGGAGAGGAGAAGAGAAGGAGGAGAGGAGAGGAGAGAAGGGGAGTCTGCAAACTATAGGCTAGTTAGTTTGACTTCGGTTCATGGAAAATTTTAGAATGGTTCATTAACAACATATTTGAAGAATATCCATATAGGGATGCATGATTACAAAGAGGTAGTAAGACATGAAAAAGAGCAAGCCTAATTTCATTTCTTTTTTTGACACTGTTACAGAATTAATATCTAAAGGGAATGGTGTGGATATAGATTATTTATATTTAAACAAAGCTTTTGACAAAGTATCTCATATTCTTTCTGGGGAGAAGATGGAGAGGAATGAATTATGTGCAGGTGTTCTCCTATGATAAACAGGGCAAGAAAACTGTGTTCAATGAAGCATGGATCACGGAAGCATTAGGGAAAGACTACATTGAGCATAAGAAGGCAGTTAATTTAAGCTTTCAGATGTATTTCAATTGGCTCATCAGATTCCTGTTACAGAATGACACCAAGAGTGAAAGTAGGTGAGACAAATTGAATCTATACAATCAGTGTAAGAAGGGACTTCAGTGGCCATGTAGTTCAATCCATTCATGAAAGATATCCTCACTGTATCATACCCAACAAGTGCTTGTCCAGCATCTGAAGACATCCCGGAAGGATGAATGCATCATCTCCTGAAGCAGCACATTCAATTTTTAGACAGAAGTGATTGTTAGGAAAAGCTTGAATTTCCCTCTTTGCAATTTCCACCCATTACCCTTATTACTATCTGTGGGGCCAAACCAAAGAAGTCTAATCCATCCTCCATGTGACAGTGCCTTGAATTCTCAGAAAGCTGTCACATTCCTGCTCTTGCCACCAAGTCTTCCTTTCTCCAAGCTCAACATGCCCAGTTCCTTCACCATCCTGGTTGCCCTCTTATTGACTCTCATCACAATATCAGTAGCCTTCTTAAACCATGGTGCCTTCTAATAAGCAAAACACTGCTAATGAGGTCTGAATGGGGCAGAACATAATGGCATTTGTTGTTGTTGTTCAGTCATTTCAATCAAATCCAACTCTTTATTACCCCATTTCAATTCTCTTGGCAAAGACACTGGAGTGGTGTGCCATTTCCTTCTCTATCCAGCTCACTTCACAGATGAGGAAATTGAGGCAAACAAGGTTAAATGACGTGCTTACCATCACACAGCGAGGAAGTGTCTAAGGCAAGATCCAAACTCAAGAAGATGAGTCTTCCTAACTCCAGGCCCAGCACTCTATCTAAGATACCATCTAGCTGCTCATTCACTGGCATTATCATCTTCCTGTTCTTGAAATTGATATCCCTAATATTGCATCTCAAGATGACAAGAACTCTTTTTTGGCTGTTGTATCACACTGGTGACTTGTATTAAGCTTGAAGTTCACTAAAACCCTGACATTCTTTAAAAAAACAGTAACAACATCAAACTACTCCCTAACTCTATCTCTCCCATCTTACATGTTTGATTTTTTGTACCCAAGTACAAGATTTAAATGGGTACAGCCCACTACTTTAGCCTTTTAAGATCCTTTTGGATTCTGATTACATTGTCCATTATGTGTCATCTGTAAATTTGATAAATGCCTATGACAATGTATGACTTTATCCAATTAGTACTTTAATTATACGGGCAGCTGGAATCCAAAATTCAGAAGGTGTGTTGCTGTGAAAAGAGAATTGGATTTGGAGGCAGATGGACTGGGTTCAAATACCATATCAACCATTTATTGGCTCCACCATTTACTGGAAAAGTAATTGAGATTCTCCAGGTATCAGTTTTCTGAAGAGTAAAATGAAAGGACAGGATTAAGTGACTTATAAAGTCCCAACCAGCTCTTAATATATGATCCTATGATTTATGAACAAAACAGAACTTATTATCTTCCCTTCTGAACCTGTCCTTCCCCCAAGCCTTCCCATTGCTATTGAGAATCTCCCCATACATCCTACCAGGTTTGCAATCTTGGACTTATTCATACTCTTGTAGTCATTCCTTTTCTCATGCTCTCCATATTAATTAGTAGACAACTTGTAATCATAATAATAATAATACTTGTAGATTTACTAAATCATTTTTACAAATACCTCATTTTGTCTTCATAGCAACTCTGGGAGGTAGATGTGAATGTTATCCCCATTTTACAAATGAGAAAACTGAGGCAGACAAAAATTAAATGGCTTGCCTAGTGTCACACAGCTAGTAAATGTCTGAGGCTGAATTTGAATGTGGGTCTTCTTGACTTCAGGACAGCACTCTCTCCATTGTGCAACCTAGCTGCCTTTACCTTAGCAAAATCATTCCCATCCACCCCACACTCTCTACTCAAATTTCTAACAAACTAGGCCAGGCTCCCATAATGTCTCACTTCAATTATGGTAATAAACTTTTAAGTTGCTTCTCTTTTTCTCATCCCTTTTCTTTTCGAAGAAACCTCCATGCAGCAGCCAAAATAATCTTCATAAAGCACAAGTCTAGTGTCGTCTTTCTCTAGCTCAATTTTATTTTTCCTGTGGCTCCCCATTAGCTCGAGGATGAAATACAAACTGCTCACCTGATCTTTTAAAGCTCTTCACAATCTGGCTTCATCTTCCCTTTCCAGACATTTCATATTACTCCCTCCCATACACTATGTCACAGAGAATCTGGACCACAAGCTATTCTTCCAACTGGGTTCTCTAGCTCCTTTCTGAGCGCCTTTGCATAGTACTCCTCAGGCCTGGAATGTTCTCCTTCCTCTCTTCTAACTCTGAGAATCCTTTTTTCTCTTCAAGGTTCACATGCAATACTATCTACTCCATCATCTCTCTCCAGACTTTCCTAGCTCTTATACTCTTTCCCATCTCATGTTATCTTGCTCTCACTGCTATGCATACAAATTGTTTACCACCCCTCCCCCTAAAATGTCAGCTCATTGAGCTCAGGAAGCATTTTGTTTTTACTTTAAATCCTCAGTGCCAAGTATCCTGCCTTGCACATAATTAGCATTTAATAAATTATGATTAAATTGAATCGAGGGCAGCTAGGTGGCACAATGGATAGAGTACCAGGCCTAGAGCCATGAAGACTCATCTTCCTGACTTCAAATCCAGCCTCAGATACTTACTTTTGTGTGACCCTGGGCAAGTCACTTAACCCTGTTTTCCTCAGATTCCTCATCTGTAAAATGAGGTGGAGAAGGAAATAGCAAAGCACCACAGTATCTTTGTCAGGAAAAGCACACATAGGGTCATGGAGAGTCGGACATGCCTGAAACAACTCAACAACAACAAACACATTGAATTGACGATAAGCCTGCGACCAAAGAGAATACCAGGTACCACAGAGCAAGAAAACTGGGTGAATTAGATATGTTATCATTGGCCATGGAGGGCAGAACTAGGAACAGCTGGTCAAAGTTACAAAACGAAGGGTTTGGGAAAATTTCCTAACAGTGAGAGCTGTCCAGCAGAAGCTAGATGACCTTGTTTGACTGTGCTGGAGAGGATCCCTCATGACTTGATAGTTGACTAGATGGCCTCTGAGATTCCTTCCAATTTGGAGATTCTGTGAATCTGTGAAGAATTCAGATCTGGGATTTTCCCTGAAGATGCACATCAAGAAAACCCCCAGGGGAGACACTTTTCAGAGTTACAATGTCTCAGAATTTGTCATGACCCCCAAAACCATCTAATCCCCTTTTCATTGTTTCCTTCTTTCTGCCACAACCACTATGTCCTGCTGCTGAATTCTATACCCCATTTCCCTTCCCTTTTTCTTTTCTGATACTAAAAAACCCAGATGACAGAAGTATTTTTAAAGTTTATCTCCGAGGATGCATAAATTCAGAAATTATACATTAAGATATAGTAATTAGACCTTCATATTATAGATTACCCAGACTCAATCTAAAGCCAAGTCCTACATGATTCTATCTCTTCAGAGTTCTCCAGTATCACTAGGGAGTGTTTCTCCCTAGGGAGAGAATAGTTGGTGCCCCTTTGGTCTGGAGAATAATTCAACCTAATATATGGGTCAACTCCAAAATTTATCAAAAGTCAATAATTTTCTACACTACTCCTTGACTCAATTTACCTGATCCACAATATTCTATTCTAGAAAACTATAATAAGTTCACATACGAATAGTCCTTTCCTTTCAATAAACTTACGAAGTATAGAGTGCAGATATTGTCACTCCGATTATACAAAAAGAAAAAAAGTATGTTTAACAATAATGACTTCTTTAAGATATACAAAATGTTTTTCATACATTTTCACATCTTTTGGGAAGCAGTATGGAGTCCTGGAGAAAGCTGTAGAGTTGGAATGAGGAACATTTGGGTTCCAATCCCACCATAGATACTTATTAGCTACATGACCAATCATTGGGCAAATCACTTAAGATCATTCAGCCTTGGGTCTTCATTCTTAAAATGAAGATAATAATAGCACCTACTTCTCAAGGGGCTTGTGAGAATCAGCAGTAATAATACTCTACATGTGAAGTGCTTTGAAAATCTTAAGGGTACTATGCAAATGTTAGCTATTATCATGATGATAAACTTTGAGGGTTTAAGTGAATTACTCAAGGCTGTATAGTAAGCAAATGTGGGAGACGGATTCATATTTGCCCTTCTAACTTTGATTCCAATCCTGATTTCATTACATGATACTGACTCACAAGTCTCTCTACAGAGAATCACACAATACAGCTCTTTGCAGGCTGTGAACTGGATAATGACATCGACATTGGCAGCCATATCCAGTTTGCTATGGATGGTGAAGATTTTATGAAGATAAATGATCAGACTAATGACTGGACTGCCATGAAACCTGAAGCAGAGCACTTGAAATCCTTAGCAGAAAGTAACTTAGGAAGCAAAATAAGAGAGAAGAATATGAAGAAATATTGTTTTGACATGATGAGGAAAATCCTGCAGTACTCAAGCATGAAGGAGAATGGTAAGTCCCCAGTCCTTCCCTTTTCCTTCCAGGGTTCTCTAAGGCCATAAGAGCAAAGCACAGGTTCTGATCAGTCTTATCAAGCTGAGAAAACTCTGAGCATGGGCTTGGGACAGATTGTCTCTTGTCAGAGGTCCAGTCTAGCTAAATGTGGAGATTGTCATCAATAGTCGAGTGGTCACCATGTAATGACTCTTCTAGTACAAAATAACTTATGAGGATGTGTTTGCTATGGTATGGAAAGAGTGCAATTAGCCACAAGTGAGAGAGTACCCACACTGATGATAACATGAATCTTTTCAAGTACTAACATTTTTGGCATTCTCTTCTTAACATATTAGAACAGTTGATTTGGGGATCTAGTAATATAATCATGATCACTATAGACAAATATTTGTTGGGAATCTACAGCGTGTGAAGTACTATCCTAGGTACTGAATAGAGTCCAAAGAACTGTAAGTTATTACACTAGCCTTCAAGGAGCTTATGGGCACCTTGAATCTGAGGGGAGAATAAATGAATAAGTGAATTAATGAAAGAAGGAAAGAAAAAGCAATTTATCAAATGTTTATGATATGTCAAGCACTGTGCTAAGCTCTGGGAGTACAAGTAGAAGAGCAAACCCACAGTCTAATTGGGGAACATAGAATACATAAGAATGTTCTGCGTTAGGACACATAGCAAGGCCTAAGGGTTCATAGTGTGCTTTGCCAAACTCCATGGGCTGTAGGGCTTAGAGGAAGTGAAATTGGTAAAGCCCAGTGCTTCCTCATTTTATCAGAAGGATTGCAGTTTGTAACTCCGTTTATCTGAATAAGCACTGTGAACAGTCACATTCACTCTGAAGGTGTGTGTCAAAATAGATATAGGGAACTACAAGCAACCAGTCCACAATGTATGGGAAGAAGAGAGTAGATCTGAGAATAAAATTATAGTGGGGCTCTGGGTTCTACTTCTCTCTTAGGGGAAACAATAGGTGAAGGGCAATGTACAGCCAGGAGATAAAAAAGAGAAGACATTGGCAGGAAGGTAGAGGAAGTGGGCCTCCAGTGCACCATCTGGTGCCAATGCTAACAAATCAGCATCGGGCCCCACGTGCTCTAAAGGCAAGTTTCATGGTAGCAGGCTTGAGTTTGTCCAATCTAACTGGATGCTTTAGAATCATACATTTAAATCTTCTTACCCTGTCAGAGATGGTGGGTTCACAAACTTTAAGGATGTCGGAAGGTTCTAGTCTTCAGAAGAAATGAACACATGATATGTGAGCACAGGATCATTTCCACTTACTACAAAGAGGAGCAAACAACTACTATTAATGTTTCCAAAAAGGGGAATTGGGGTGAGGGAGACAGAAGTGTGAGAAACTGGTCCTAGGGATAAGATGACTTTTGGGCAACCAAAACAACAATAGCTATTGTCTGACAAAGGTAATAACTGGTAGAGAAAGATAGAGGAGAGAGTAATGTGGAAGGAAAGGAAGAGAGAGGGTCTAGAAGTGATAACAGAACAATAGAAGGTCACTGAGCTTTGGAGGTAATATCTTCTCTCTTGACTTCTCCCTTCAGTGGCCCCTGAGGTGATTGTGTCCCGCCGTGATGCTCCAGATGGTAGAGTCACCTTCAACTGCACAGCCACAGGTTTCTATCCTCGCTCCATCCAGCTGCATTGGGAAAAAGATGGGCAGCTGGGTGTGTGGGGTCAAGAGAGCTCCAGTGGCACCTTGCCCAATGCTGATTCCACCTTCTACCTCCAGATCTCACTGGAACTTCCTCCTGGTGATTCAGACACAGGTTACACCTGTGTGGTAGAGCACAGTACACTACAAACTCCAGCTGTATATACTGGTGAGTATTTTCCCCAACTATATGGGCCATGGAATTAAATATTCCAAACTTTTCACTACCTTTTCCACTCTTAATAATGTTCCACAGAGCAGGTTTTCACTAGACACGCTTGCTAGTTGTCTCTCCTCTTAAAAAACACTTCTTGTTTACTTGTTGCCTTTCATACCCTGCAGTCCCTGAGAAGCCCACTGTGAAGAGGCCATGGGCCATGGCCCTGGGTCTCCTTACAGTTATCATTCTGGTGCTGAGCTGTGCTGGGGCCTTCGTCATATGGAAGAAGAAGAACACAGGTACATTTGTGATGAGAGAGGGGGAAATGCTATTGGTGCAAGGGCAAAAGGAGGAGAGAAAGTGGTAGGGAGCAGTTGTTAGAAGGGATGAGGATGCTAAACTACCCCTGTGCCTCACAGAGTTCTTAGGAGGAAAGCTCTTTGTAAACAGAATGATGCTCTCTCAGAGACTAAGATATGGAAGAGACCTCAGATTGTACTTCTAGTACAATTGGGATAACTTTCTTTGAAAAACAGGCATCTAGATCTAGCTTACTGAACTCCAATGATAGGGAATTTACTTCTTCCCAGGATAGTCCATTCAACTTTTAGACTTTTATGAAAGTTCTCTTGACATCAACCTTAAATCTGTCTCTGGGCAAGGTCACCAAGTTTCTCCTAGTTACCTTTCCTGGGTATGAGAAGGTCAAGTTGAATATCTCTTTCACATGGCAGTTATTAAAATTCCTGTATTACAATCACCTTCTTCCTCTCTCCTCTGTTCTCCAGGATGAAAATCTCCAATGTCTTCAGCAATTGATATGGTTTCTAGTTTCTTCACCATTAGAATAATCCTCTAGATATGTCATTGATGAAATGTAGCATTGAGAATTTAACATAACACTTCAGATGCATCTGATCAGGAAGAATACAGAGGGTCTATCACCTCCTCATTCTTGGACACTGTGTTATTCTCTTAATGAAGCCAAAAAATTACATTAGCTTTTTCATGTGGACTCATCACAGTTGCTTGTATGTCATACTTCAACCTGCCACTTGTCTTTTTAGCATATATTTATGTTTTATTATCCTGAGCTACGTAACAACTCAGGGTTAAGAATGAATCATTTCTTATTAATAAACTTGCAAACCAATTTCTCATTAATTAATTAACTTCAGTTAATTAATGAGGCTGTACTATCAATCGCTAAGTATTAATTTAATAATTAGAGAAATCACCTTTGCTAACAATTGAAAGCAATAAGAATGCAAAGAAAATTATATATCTTATTTTGATAAATAAATGGGCACAGCCACGGTTACCACCAAAGCTCAGTATAATGCTAGACAGCTCGCTTAACTTCTCTGAAGAATATGATCCCATATCATTCACTTCACTTCAGTTCCCCCTGAAAAAGCATTTTATTACTTTTTAAGGCAAGAGTCAAGTTTAATCACTCAAGAAATAAGTTAAAGTATTCTTTTTTGTCTCTTCAATAATCATAGGAAACAACATTTACAGAATGTATTCTACTTGCCAGTTCTTAACAGACTGTTCATGAAATCGACTTTGTAATGGTTCTATGTAATATCATGCTTAGGGCAGTTCTGGTGAGGAAAAAATTTTACTTACCTTCTTCCTGTGTATCTTCTCCATAGAGTTCTCATAGATCCTCACAGATCACAGATAAAACATGATTCTACAAGAAGAAGTACTTCATAGTAAGATATTTTTCAACTGTCATTTCAAACTGCCAAATTCACCTAAAATCGATGTGAGCCATTTGACACAGCACTTTTACTCACAGCGATTCACATTGATCATGCAGTCCACTAAAAAAAACACCAGCTCTTTTTCAGAACAAATACTCCCTCCATCTTGTACTTTTGAAGTTAATTTCTCATGTAATTCAAGAATAGGGCTTCACAATTGTACCCTTTAATTTTGATTTTATTACAACCAGCATAGTATAGTGGAAAGAATAGTGGACATGGATTCAGGAGAGACCCGAGTTTTGATCTTCCCCACTCTGTCACAAACAATTTTTAGCGTCCTGACATGAGTAAGTGGCTTAACCTACCTCTCCCAAACTCAGTTTCCTCATTTGCAAGCTAAAAATGATAATATTACTTCACAAGAGCGAGTCACAGAATCACAAAATTTGAATTGGACAGGACCCCACCGGCCGTGTAGTCATCTATATATAAAAAGAATCCTCAGTATACTATACCTGAGAAGTAGTTTCCTGGCTCTGACTAAAAACCTGCAAGGAAAGGAATCAACAACCTCTTGAAGTAAAACATTTTACTTTTAGATAGCTGTAACTGTTAGGAAGTTGTTTCTCAGACGTCAATCCTAAAATTTGCTTCTTTGTAATGTCCATCCACTGTCCTTGCTTCTGGTCTCTTTGGAGCCACAGATCAAATCTAATTGCTCTTCCACATAATAGCCCTTCAAACACTTGAGGATGATTATCATGCCTCCCCTCTCCCATAAGTCTTCTGTTTTCCAAGCTTAACGTCTTTATTCCTTTCCATGGATGCTCACATGGTATTTATTCAATATTCTTTATCATACTGGCCCTCTGTTTCTTAATATCCTTCTTAAAATTGTGGTAATCAGAACTGAACTCAATTCTCTAAGAGAGATCTGAGGAGGTGGTGGGCATATCACCTCTCTATTGCTGGGTGCTATGGCCCTCATAATGTTGTTTGTGATTGGCTGCTAAATCACTGCCAAATTACATTGAGTTGGTAGCACACCAAGGCCCCAGGATTTTCCCCCAGAACAGCTTCTGTCTAACTATGCCTCCCACATCTTGTACTTGTGAAGCTGGTATTTTAGACTCAAGTATAAGACTTTATATTTATCTCTATTGAATTTCATCTTATATTCACTCACTATTTTAGTTGATTGTATCCTGAATCCATCTTGCAGTGTATAAGCCATCCCTTCTAACATTGTGACACCCCCCAAAAAATCAATAAATATGCCTTTGTCCAGGTGACTGAATGTTAAACAGCATAGGAACAAGTGTGGATTTCTGTTGGTATGAAGGTCCAAAAGATTTTACACACACACACACACACACACACACACACACACACACATCACTTTGTGATGTTTAAGATGATACCTGTCAGGTATTATGAAATGAGGGGCAGAATGGAGTGCATCACTGTGTTCTATGGTTCTGAGCCTTCCTTTCTACATGTTAATTATGCTTCTCAGCTTTGGGTAACTTACCAATCCAGTAGACATGCCAGTCATGTCATTGGAAAAGTAGGTTTTATAGTACAGAGTTCATAGGATCATAATTAGAGCCTTAAAGCACCTTAAAGATGGTTGAATTAAATATCATTATTTTGCTGATAAGGAAACTGAAAGGAAAGAAGGGGAAAAAATAAGCATTTATTAAGCACCTTCTATATGCCAATCACTTCCTAAGTGCTTTACAAACATTATCTCATTTGATTTCATTTGACTTGAGAGGTTAGGTAAATTGATCAAAGCCACAAAGATAGTGTCTGAGGTGGTGTTTGAACCCCCAGATCTTCCTAACTCAAAGTCCAGAAATGACAGATAATTCCAATGTACATGGAAAGATGAGTGTATCTTCATAAACCTTCAGGTCTTATAGGAGACACAACCCTTCCATTCTAATTGAGAAGACGCACAGCTTTCTTTGGGAAGCACCCAGTCTGATACAAGATATGCTGGTACCTGCAGATGGGAGGCTGAATGAGCTTCTGATGCTTCCCAGCCTGTGGGGCTTCCACATTTACCCCTATTTCTCTTTCAGGTCACAGGACCCATGAGCAAGCCACAGTGGATGGTGAAGGGACCCTGTAAAGGGAGTCTGGATTTGCCCAATGATGGAAGCCATCAGTGGAGGAGAGCACTGAAGAGGGTCCATGGGCATATACACAAATTATAGTACCCTGGTCTCTCTCTTAATCTGTATTCAGGATAGGTCTTCCAATAAAAAGTGGAACATGGGCATGATGTCTGTTATTAGCTTTTCTCTGGGTACAGATTGCTAAATATCTATAGACCAAGTAAAAATATTTTTGATCTTCATCTGGAATAATAATATTGATAAAGCTCTTTGCACACCTTAAAGCACTACATAAAAGTTTGTTTTTGTTGTTGTTGATGTTGCTGGTGTTGTTGCAGTGGAAAAAAGAGCTGGGCCAGAAGTCAAAGTCCATGGGTCTTAATCCAAGATCTGATACCTTCTATTTGATAACTATGAACAACCTACTTAACCTCTCTGAGCCTGAGTTTCCTCATTTATAGCTCATATGGTTCTGGTGAGGAAGATGCTCTGTAAACCTTACAGCACTTTTAAATGAGATTTATTATTATATTCAGAGAGACAGCATGGTGATGTGGATAGAAAGCTGGGCTCAAAGCTAAGAAGACCTGGGTTCAAATCCCACTTCTGACACATTCTGTCTAAGTGACCTTGGATCAGTCACTTCCCCTCTGTGACCTATGCAACCTTCTAATTAGATAAGCTGTGGAAAAGATGCAAAGATTTATTCATAGAGTGAATGTACATTCCCAAAGGATCCTATACCAATGTAATCACAGCAGCAATCCTAGACCCTATTCCTATTCCCATCAAGTCTCTACTCAAAGCCACCTTCTTTGTGGTTTTTGATTCAATGGATCCATGATGTCATGGGTGTAGGTGGTCTTTCTAAGTCACAAGACAGGCACAACCTCCTATTCTTGATCCTTCCTGCCAATGTTTGTCCATAAGTCTATAGAGGTTCCATACTAACACTCTCATTATGAGAATAACAATTCATCTTCATATAAAGCTTTCCAGTTTACAAAATGCTTTCTTCATAGAACCCTTTAATATTGATAATGCAAGCTTTAACCCCATTTGGCAAATAAGGAAACAGAGGCTCAGTGTCCTGATGGGTCTTTCTCAAGGTTGAATTACTAGTAAAAAGGGCACCGATAGGACTCCAGGCCAGGTCTTCTGGTCTCTTTCTGCTGCCTTTCTTAGTACTCCAGGTGAATCTCAGCACTTTCTATTCACAGGATGCCCAGTGTGGTTTAGTTAAATGAACCTTGTACTGGGAGATGCAGCTAACAGGTACAAGAGCATAAAATTGTTGACCTAAAAATGTAAGGGAATTCAGAGGCATCTACATTCACCCCCCTCATTTTACAGATGAAGAAATTGATGCACAGGGAGTTGAAATGACTTGTCCAAGGTAGCACCAGTAAACACAATTTGAACCCAGTTCTCTAATTCAAACATCAGTGCTCTTTCCCTTGGGCCATGTTGCTTGGTCATTAGTTAGCTGTGTAAACTTAAAGTGGCCATCTCCCTTCTTTTGTACTCAATTTCTTTATCTGTCAAATGAGGGGCGTTCCCAAAGACCAATGAAATCACAGGACCAGGATATGACCCTTTTTTTTCTAGCTCATTTGATATTCCTGTGAGACCTTGGGTGTATATACTGTTGGGTTTATTAGCTTCATTCTACAGAAAATGAACCTGAGATTCAGGAGAGGTTACTGTACCTGCCCAAGATCATATAGCATTATTAGGAGGGAGAGATTTCCACTGATCCAAGTTCAGTATTCCTAGCATTGCTTAATGTTGCTTCTCTTTTGTCTATCCCAAGCTGCAAGATCATCATAGATCATCGCACCTGCTCTATTCAGTTTAGCATTATCACTGAATTCCTTCGACTGTTTTCTTATTGTTCCGTATGTCTAAGTCTTGATTATCTCCCTCCCCCATGGATTCTAAGTTCTGTAAGGGCAAAGATTACCCATACTTTGATATCCCCACAGTGTGAGAACATGGTTGGGCACAAAATAAAGGCTTGCTGAACTCAAAAGAAAAGAACCAAGGACAAAAACCAGATCTCCTGAGTCCAGCACTGCACAGCCTCTCCATTGAATGGAGAGGGAGCCCAACCAGTTACTTTCACTGGCAGGACCATTGGAAGTCACAGAGGGCATAAACAGCAGTGCTAAGGATAGGGTCTCCCAAGGCCAACTCGATGCTTTTTCTCTTTCATTTTCATATGTTCCTTGAGAACAGGTGTGTGTGTGTGTGTGTGTGTGTGTGTGTGTGTGTGTGTGAGAGAGAGAGAGAGAGAGAGAGAGAGAGAGAGAGAGAGAGAGAGAGAGTGTTCTCTTAATTTTCTATTTTTATATGCCTAATATCTGGCAGGCCAGCTAAGTGCCACAGCGGCAGAGTACCCAGGCTAGGAGTCAGGAAGACTTATCTTCCTTAGTTCAAATGTGGCATCAGACACTTACTAACTGTGTGACTCTGGGTCAGTACTTAACCCTGCTTGCCTCAGTTTCCTCATCTGTAAAATCATCTGGAGGAGGAAGCGGCAAACCACTCCAGTATCTTTGCCAAGAAAACCCCAAATTGGGTCATGAAGAGTCAGATATGACAGAAAATAACTGAACAACAACAACAGCATCTGGCAACTAGTAGTCAATTGAATTGAATTTCACTGAAAAAAATGTAATTGAATTGGGGTGTCCTTAGTGCTGAAGGGAGGAAGAATTAGCTGTCTCTATCCTCCCCCTCCCCTTCTCCTCCTCCTCCTCCTCCTCCTCCTCCTCCTTCTTCTTCTCCTCTTTCTCCTCCTTCTCAGTCTTCCTCCTTCTCCTTCCTCTTTCTCCTTCTTCCTCTTTCTCCTTTTTCCTCTTCTCCTTCTTCCTCTTTCTCCTTTTTCCTCTTCTCCTTCTTCCTCTTCCTCTTCTTCTTCACTCAAATGGGCAGAATTAAGAGTAATGAGTGAAAGTTGGAGAGAAGACCATTCAGGATGGTGGTTAGGAAGGCCTTTCTAATTATTATTACAGCTGCTCTAAATTTGAGTGGACTGCTTGAGGGGGCAGTAGCTTCCCCTTCTAGAGCTCTTCACAAAGTGACTGGAAGAGCACTTGTCCAGGGTGTTGGTGATTTCTGTTCACAGAGTCACAGAGTTTTGGAAGGAACCTCAGCAGCCATTAAGCCTAACCCACACTTGAAAGGGAATCTTCACTACAACATGGCCAACAAGTGGTCTAGTATTGTCCAGGGGCGACTTTCAGGTCCTTTTCGAGAACTCTTTAGATTCTTAGGTGCCCTCAGTGGGTGCCTGGGGAGAAGTTTTATTTTCAATTCCCAGATTCCAGAGTCCAGGAAGGTTCTCAGTGGAGTGGGAGAGGAAGAATATGAAGACTGAAGATGACATTTTGCAGCAAGTGGCATGCATAGTTGTTCAAGCATCCGAATGTGAATATTCACTTCCAGTGGAAGCATGTTCCCTGTTACAGTTTTAGATAGAAGAAAAAGAGAATGAAAATACTTGGTGTGCTAAGAAAGAAGAAAGAATAATAAACTTTAATCCAAATGTCCCACCATTCATTAGAATTCCACAAGGCTACACTCGTCTGCTGCTTCTAAGAGTTGGCAACAGGTCCCTGGTTTGAAGATATTCTTCATGGATCTCTTTTCAGACATCTAGGTCTCCCTGCTCTTTCTACACAAACCATCCTTGACCAAAATTCCTGAATTTCCAGAATTCCCAGGAACAGAGAGAAAGAAAGAGTATAAGAACTCAGTGCTTCCTTTTTATTACTGGCTTCACCCTTCATCAAGGATGAGAGAAGTAAGTCTTCTACCTTTAAGAATATAGGATTTTCTCAGATTCATTTTGGATGCCCTGTCCTTGTATGACCTTCCCCCTTCTTTTTGTCTTTCCCTTACAGTGATCACTCGTACTTCTCAACACTATTACTTTGAAACTCCTACCAGCATCTGAGGAAGAAAAATTCTCAGTTGAAGAAGAAGAAGAAGAAGAAGAAGAAGAAGAAGAAGAAGAAGAAGAAGAAGAAGAAGAGAAGGAGGAGGAGGAGGAGGAGGAGAAAAAAAGAAGGAGAAGGGGAAGAAGGAGAAGGGGAAGGAGAAGGAGAAGAAGGTGAAAGTTGAGGTGAAATTTCTTGAGTTAAATTCCTTAGTTTGCCACCTCCAGGTGTTGCTCCAGGGCCTGCTGTTTGTTGATTCAGTAGAGTTGGCCTGGAGGTATTTACACTTCACTCAGGCCAAATCTCAGCCCCTAGAGGCCCTGTCTTTTCTGAGATCCTTTCAAGTTGTCCTAGGAGGACAACTGCTTTACCCCTTTATTTTGCTGCTCTACATTCATTTTGTGGTGATTTTCTGTCTGTGGAGGAAATCTGGAGAGCCTGGAAATTTCTGGCCTACTCTGCTATCTTCCCAGAATGCATCCACAGCTATAACTTTTTGGAAACCCTCTGAGTGGATAAAGAACTGGCCTTGGAGTCAAGAAGACCTGAATTCAAATCCAGCCTCACATGCTTACTAGTTGTATCACTCTGGGCAAGTCACTTAACCTCTGTCTACATCATTTGTCTCAACTGTATAACAGCTACTCTCTTGCAGGGTTGTTGTGAGGATCCAATTATTGTAATAATTGTAATAATATTTATTAAAGCGTTTACATAGTGCCTGGCATATAGTAGGCGCCATCTAAATGGTTTCCCTTTCATTCCTTTCTCCATTCCCCAGTTAGGAGCCGATTGTAATAATATGTGAGAAATAATCATGGCCCAAACTTTGATGTTTGTTGTGTGAGTGGAAACCATGGGACAAATGTGAATATAATCTGGAGTTTCTAGCCAAGCTGGGGGCACTTAGCATGGGAATCTCCTAATTAGCAGAGAGAATGCTGACTTGAACGTACAGACCTAAATGAGAGCTGGAGTTGGCATGAAAGCTTTGGAGAGGAAAGAGGTTCTTCTTATTTCTGTATTGAAGAAGACACATGTGATGTTAGATCCTGTTGAGGACCAGCACTAATCACATGGAGACAGAAACTTGGATGTGACAAATGTAGGGGGAGCCAGCTCCCCATGTTTTCTAGCTCACCTCCCTACAGGCTTTGGGAATTTTCCCCTTACGTGAGAGTGGAGCTTTTCATTTGGTCTGAGCTATCTCTATCCCAGTGTTCATTGACTCTGTGTATTTTCTATATTCTGATCTACATGATCTTCTATTTCTGTTTGCTATTTCCTCAGGAAAAAATGGATTTATTCAATAGCCACTACTTGTGATAGTCTTCTTCGACTAGCACTGGTGGAAAGGAACCAACTTAGCAAGAGAACCTTAAAGAGATAGTTTCTCCCCCCCCCCCCCTGTTTTTAATGGATTCAGTCCAGGGAATTTAGTGGGGTTTTGTTCTGAATCAATGAACCAATGAACCAGCAATATTTAGGAAGGCAGATAGATGTAATTTTAGTTCAGAGAGGACAGTGTAATCAGCCTTATAGCCCCCTCTCCTGCTCCTTTCAAGGATGCAATCACAATCTCCTTTGAAGAGAGTTAGGCAAGATTCTGGAGATACCTATCAAGGCCTCGTCCCGCCTGCTTCTCTATGAATTGAGACATCCCAGGTAAATATACACAACTTACAGGGACATATTTCTATATTACAAGTGAGAACCCATCCATAGCCTTTACTCTTTTTTAATTTTTCTAATTTTTTAAAATAACAGAATTTGCCTCAAGGGTAGCCCTTTTTTTTTTTTGTTTTTTGATTGCAAAATGTAAAGAGTTTTTAATCTAAATAGGCCTGGGCAAGGCAGATTTTTCATAAGATTTCTTAGAGCTGGAATTGATAGAACCGGACACTGATTGTATATATTGGATAAGGGAGAGGGAAACATTGAGGACGACTCTAAGATGACAAATATAGGTGACGGGAAGGCAGAGGGGAACCTCTACAGAAATAGGGACGTCTGACAGAATTGTGGGTCTAGAGAGAAAGGTAATGAATTTTGCTTGTCATCACTTTGTTTGGAAAGCTAATGAGTTTGATCTTGTTGAGCTTGAGACCCCTAAGAGGGGTCACCCAAATGAAGATGTCCAGCAGGCATTTGGTGATGTTGAGACTACACCTCTGGGGAAGTGAAAACTCCAATGATTCTCCCTAGGCTGGAAGCAGCAGGCTCCCTTGTGCATGACAAAACAAATCAATCACACAGGTAACCCTCACACTTTCTGAAAGACAATACTTATTTCTCCTGGGACTTGCCCAAGTTTACACAGATAGTGTCAGAGGTCAGACTTGAATTTGGATCTTCCTGACTCCAGGCCCAGTGCTTTCTCTGCTGAGCCATCATCTATTTGCCTCATTGCCTATTCCTACAGCAATAGATGGTTATAAATGTCTAGGTCTGCATCTGAGTAGCAAAGCAATGATGGGACCCAGCAAATACGAAACAAGATTTTTTATAGCGGCAACTCACAGCTCCTGGGAGCCCACATGCCCACATCTATCATACTGCAGGGTACAATAAGACAACTAAGGGTTGCCAGATGGCAAAAACAGGATACAGTGCCAAGCCTGGAGTCAGGAAGACTCAAATTCCTGTGTTCATCTACAGCCTCAGACACTTACTAGCTGTGTGACCCTGTGCAAGTTGCTTAATTCCTATTTGCCTCAGCTCCTGGCTGATCAGTCAACTTAAAGATAAACAACTTCCACTTTGCCCTTTGTCTCTCTCTGTCTCTGTCTCTGTCTTTGTCTCTTTCTCTGTCTCTGTCTCTCTGTCTCTCTCTCTGTTCTGTCTCTCTGTTTCTCTCTCCTCTGTCTGTGTCTCTCTTCTCTTTGGAGTGTGTCACCTGGGACATAAGCAGCCTCCCCTTCAGACTTCTTGTGATGAGAAAAGAGGATCTCTCCCCACTCTCTCCTCTGGAAGCAATGGTGACTGAAAGCACTTGATAGTGTGAATATGTACTGCTTGCTTCAGAGAGGCATCTTAAATCCAAGGCTGCCCTTTCTATTCTGTGTTTTATTACTGGCCTTTTAATAGGTCTTTGAATAGCAATCAAAGAGGTAGATGGTTCCGGCTTGGTGCCACCTTCTCATGAATTGTTTCCTGAGGGATAACTCTATGGTGCTTTATTCAATGATCACCTTCTCTGAAAGGAAGATGACACCTAAAGAATGAGAGTTATTTACTACCCTGACCACAGGATACAGACCTAGAATGTGTCACTCGGATCAGAGGTCAAAGGACATACCTGTTAATCAGGTATCTGATGTTTTAATTACCAACCTCTCAAAAAGTAGATAATAAGAGTTAGGTGCTGTTTCATCCTTCAAGGATTTGTCAATCACATGCTTATAAGTCCTTTGTATTTTAAGCATTTCTTTTGCAGTGGAGGAAATAAATAGCTGTCCCTAATACCTTGATCTACTTGGTACATTGAGCACTTTTCTAGATGGGACCCAGTTTATTCCTTCTAGGGACAATTTAAACATAAACCCAACCTCAACTTTAGTTTAGAGTTCCTATCCAAATTCTCTGAGATCTGAATGTAATGAACCCAAGAGTGTGAGAAGTGCCTGATCTTCTCCCTGCAGAGGTCAGGCTCCTCCAAGATTGAGCCCAGAGCCCAGGTTGTTTGGTGGGAGAAGCTGGGCCTATTCTATTTGTGGATGTTAGGGTTATTTTCCAATCTCATTTATATGATGCAGTTTCACTGAGTGTGTCTAGCTTTCTCAATTGGAGTTAGGTAGTATATCTACACTTTGTCTGGGGTTTGGGTCTTTTATCACTGGTCCAGGGTAGGGACAGTTGGTATTCATCCTTGGGCTTCAATAATCGCAATGCAGTTGACCCCAGAAGCTAGACTTCCATCCCCAAACCATCACTCCCTCCCAGGCCCAAGCAGGTTTCAATGACCTCCTGGTTATTTCTCTCTGGATGTCATGCCAATTATTCAAACCAAAAATGCCAACCCAATTCAAAATCATGTCTTAGTACACTTAATACTATGTCTCAGGCACTTTGCTTACTGCTGGGAATACAAGATCAATAAAGGAAATAGTAGCTACCATCACTACAAAGATAATAAATGAGACTGTAGCTATACTAAATACAAGGACAATAAAGAAATATTACCCAACCTTAAGGATCTTACATGCTACTATGGAGGGATACAACTAGACACCAATAAATAATAACAATGTATTTGAGGAGGGAGAAAGCAATAACAACTTGAGAGACCAAGGGAGGCCTCACAGAGGAGGTGGCACTAGTGTGTAGCCCAGAAAGAAGGTAAAGGTTCTCAGAGGTGGTGAAAAGGTGGGCAGACATTGCAAGCCTGAAAGCTGTGTGGATGCACAGAGGACAGAGACAGAGAGTCTAGTGAGGAGAATGGTTAGCCCAGTTTGCCTGCCCTCATATCATTTTACTTAAAGATCTTCCAAGGAACAGTGGCAAGGAACGAAGTTAAATTCTCTCTAGAGATTTCCTCTATCTTCAGTATCCACTGTGGCCCAGCTCTCCTAGTGTCAAACCCCTAATCCAGGACTGGGCTCACTTCTTCCTGTAACTAACTAGCCTCTCTGGTGGAGCATCTAGACAGATTTCCAGGGACCATGAAGTCACAGAAATTGTGATTGGAATGGGAGTCCTTGAATTTCTGAAACAGGCTGTGGTGAGAGGAGCTGGAAGGAATGAAACTTCCTTGATGGTCAGCAAGGGAGCTGGAACATCAGCAGCTATTCTGAGGGTATAAGCAGGAGTTGGATGAAACAGGAACATGGTCTGCTTTCTCTTTCCACTTACTCATTGTCTCTCCCAATGCCCATCCCTTCCTGCTCAAGAAGCATTATTCTTCTCGGAGTCCACATAACTTTATAGCTTAAGGCAATAAAAAAAACTCCTATCTGAAAAGTCTGGGCAAAATGTGGATGACTGTTAGATGGCTTCAAAACTCCATTGTAACTGGACTTCCCTGAACTGGTGACTGTGCTTGGATTCATGAAGCACTAACTTCACAAATCCAAATATAAGTCTAGATATAAGCTAAAGGTTACCCCCTCACCCCTAAGTTAGTAGCCTCCTGCAATTCTACAAAATGTGTATGTATATATACATACTTACATATAGTGTATATATATATGTATATATATTATATGATATGTGTATGTATACAAACACACACACACACACACACACACAGAGAGAGAGAGAGAGAGAGAGAGAGAGAGAGAGAGAGAGAGAGAAAGAGAGAGAGAGAGAGAATGTATTCATATGCATACACATTGTTTCCCCAATAGCAGGTAAGAATATGGGTTTGCTGCAGTGATCATTACAGGGAAGGGGTGTGGATTGGAATGGATAGCCTCTAAAGTTGCTTTCACATCTTAGGTTCTGGTTTCCCTAAATAGAATGATTCATTTTAGTCACTTGAGGGCCCAGGGGCCTTTCTCCAGCAGAGAAGGCTCTTGATTCAGATGAGCTAAGTTTCTAATTTATAATAATTCTGATTATGATATAATTCTGCTTTTTATAAATTATGTTTTCACTTCTGAAAATTTTTATCTCTCTATTAACTCTGGCACATGAATCTTGTCTATTGAGACCACTTGATCTCAACTACTTCTGATGGGTCTTGATTTTCCCGTTGTCTACTGAACTATGAGTACATAGCACTTCTTGTAATTTAATGGCAAAGTTTTGCATGTCCCTCCCAGTGCAGTCTCCTGTAAGAATAGACCAGTTGGAAGTAAGATTAAGGCTAAGGTTGGAGTTGTGTAACAGATGATCTCTCTGAAAACTATGTGAAAGGATATTTAGTGTCACCACAGTGGACTTTCTTCACTGAAGATGAATAGCTGGAGAAGAAATGGGTCCTTCTAGTTGAGATTGTGAAGTCATCCCTGTGAAAAAGATCCCTAGTTTAAGCTTTTCCCATACTTCTCTTCCCATGCTAATATGAGAGGTAGGGAAAGGGAAAGAAATTAGCGTTCAGGAATTACTTACATACATAGGGACATACACACCTGCCCTTTACTCTCTTTCCAAAGGATTATCCCTAAATGAGGGACCTTGCACTGGAACAATTCCATCCACACCACTAGAGTGAGACTTCCACTCACCAGTAACCCCTTCTCAGATCATTCATTATTCAGAACATGGAGAGAAATTCACTGAGTTTCTGTGGTTCTCAGGGACTTTGAATGGATCCAGATTCACAAACTTTCAGAATGTAAATTCTCAACAACCATCTAGTTCAACTCATGCCTGAATTACAATTAGGATCTCCTCTCTGATATATGTGTGTATGTATATACTTAGATATGTATATCTATATGCATACATACATATACACAAACTTATATGACATATAAATATACATATGTATAAAAATATACACATATACATTCTTACATACATACACCCAGCACTGGTCATCCATTGGGCCCTCTTGGCCCAAACAAAAGAAATCTAATCCCTCCTCCACATCAAGATTCTTAAACTCAGTTGTCAACTCCCTCCCCTCCTCATTATCCCCGTCCCCAATCTTCTCTTCTTCTGGCCACCACGTCTTTGAGCAGAGGAGGTATGATCACTTGCTGGGAATTCTTGAGTAGCAGAATTCTGCTCTTCTGTGGTTTCTACCAAAATGCTGTCAAGGTCTCTTCTACCCCTGAGAATCTGTGTTTCTGGGATTCTTTTTACAAAGTGCAGTATTGCAAATATCAGCCCCCAAGTGGAAACTCGTTCTGTCCCTTAGTGATCTCCCCTTTTCCTCTCTTCCTATACATACCTGTCTCCTTCTTCCATGTAATGAAAATGTTAATGCAGCTCAGCCCCAGGATGAAGACTACTAGGATGCTCATGACCATGACCCAAAGCTTTTTCTTAGGGGGCTTTCCAGGAACTGCAGGAGAAGAGCCAATAAATTAATGGGAGTAACATAAGGCAATTTTTGCAGTGGGAATGGGCTTTGTATCCAGTGGGATGTCTGCTTTGGGGCCATTTAATAGCAGAGATGGTCATGGGCAGAGGATTGCTGAATTCTTGACTCCACACAATGGTAAAAGGAAATTGGCTTGTACCTTCTGGTAGGGGATGGAGAGTAAAAAGGAACTCACAATTTTCCTTCATGCTTGAATTCCGAAGGATGTTCTGAACTACACCAACACAATGTTTCTTAATGTAGTGTTTTCTCAATTGGTCCAGAAGGGCCTTTCTGCAACAGATTTTAAGACATGGGCCTTCGGATGTGAGAACACCCCACGTCCTTGATGATCATCTATCTCCATCACATTCTCTCCATCCAAGCTAAGTCGTACCTCGCTATTCAATTGGATGCCATCATCTAATTCACAGCCTAGAAAGAGCTGCAGCATGTGATTCCCTAGAAGAGAGCGAGAAATATGGGATACTCTTAGAGCAAATGGTTCAGGGGAAGCTGAGGGAGACACTTTCTGTTGTCAGGCCCAGAACTCATAGAGTTCTATTTGGTTAATTTTGGGAATCACCTTTGTATCAGATGGAATTATTTGGTGTCCTGAAGCTTAGTGTCTCTCAGCTTAGGAAGAATTCTGGCCAAACTAGGAAGGGAATATGTTAAAAGAGAGAGAAAATTAGGAGTCGAGTGTAATTCAATTTTTTATTTGTGCTCTCCTTATTTTTCCATATAGCATTCTTTCTGAATCCATATTTGGCTTTTTCTCTTGTATGTAGACGCTAGAACAACCACATTCCCATAGTTTAGAGTGGGTAGTGGTAATAGATAAAGAAAGAAAAGTGCAAGTTGAAAGCCAATATCAGGAGGACAGAAGAAAAGTAACAGGGATTTTGGGATCAGATAGGACTGATCTCTGAAATCATGGACAAGGAAGGTTCAGTAAGTAGTTCAGTATCTTAAGTTCAGACTCAATGATCAAGAAAACTTGGGCAGGGGTAAAATGTGAAAATCTTGTGGGTGAAGGGAAAGGTTTCCTGAAACATTTCCAATGGGGGATTTGGTTTCCTGGGAAAAGTGATGTGGTTTAGTGAGTCCTAAGGCCCAGGAATAGATCTCTCTAAGCCCTTTCTTTACAAATAAAGGATCAGTGGCCCGAGCCTCTTGACAATCATCCCAAATAAGTCGGGTTCCTGGGGATTGGTCCTTCGGATTTGGTTGAAGGGAGATGAGCTGGGATAAGGAGAAATATGGTGGTGGGGATAGGTGGAGCTAACTTACTCTCAGGCTTAGTGTCATTAACTGTCAGGAATTGGATCAACCATAGGGCATCCCCCTCATGGCTCTGTATTGAATGACACATCTCCTCAATGAAGTTGGTCCCCAGGGCATCAGAGATCCAGTCTGCCTTGACTGTAGCCTGCTCGTTCATTTTGTGATAAGAAAGCCACTGAATGTCATGAATAATGGCAATGCCAGTGAGGTCCAAGAGAGAGTAGCATGTACCCACTGCAGTGTACTTAAGTTCATTCCTGCGGTAGACTAAATGGCAGACAAGGAAAAAATAGAGGTGTTATAAGGGGGCAGAGTCAGAAGCCTGGGGTCTTCTCCCATCCAGCCACCTGCCACTATGGCTTTCTATTGTTGTCCGATTAAGGTGCAGCAGGAATATCCTGAGGGACCTTCTAGGAGATCATGTGTCTAATTGAACTTCAGCTGAGTACCTATCACAGGACTGGACACAAACCAGGGATCAATATAACGTTAATTGATTTATTCAGAGTGATTTTTTAGACTTGCAGAAAGGTTTTTGCTAAGTCAAATCAACTCATCATATCTTCTGTTTCACGGTCCACATAGGATGAGTGAGGAGTAGAGAGAACTATGAGAGAGGATCAGGGTTGTTAACAGAGAGGGAAAGGCAATATGGCTGAGCTGTAAGAAGGGGAAGGCAGAAAGCTGTGTTTTGCCAAAAATTGGCAACAGTGTCTCCACCAATGATGGAGCACACACAAAGTAGCAAATGTATAAAGCAGAAAGGTAATGCCATTGTTTCTGGTGTTGTGGTGACTGGCCCCTTACACAGATGCAGAAAGTAAAACAGTGAGAGTAAACAGTAGTAAAGAATCAGGTAGTACTCTGCAGGTACGGAAATAAATCAGCTGGGTGTATTATAAGGCACTTTCTCCTGTTTCTATTTTTGTGCTTTGCTGAATTTTTTTCCCTGTGGAAAGGAAAATCAGAAGTGTGTGCTAACAGTGACATGCTGATATATCTGGCAGTTCAGTCATGTTACTGCTAAACTCCCTTGAAGTGTAAAAATGGTTGCTACAGAGTGCTGTGATCCCTAAGATGGCTATTCTTCCAACTGGAGAGGAAGCACCACAAGCACAGTTCTAATGCAAAAAAAAAAAACAAAAAAAACCCAAAAAAAACCTTTAAAGGGAGGGCTGGTATCACCAGACCTTTTTGAATGTGACCCAGGATTGGAAGATAACAATGGAATGGCCCATGTTAATCAAAAAGAAAATTTGATAAAATGTTGAATGTGGTAGCATTGTATATCTAGGTGGAAATATAGTAAGGGAACATGATGGAAGGATTGATGCTAGGAAAAATGAAAGTGATATCATGATAGCAATTTGATAGCAAAAGGATCAACTGGTTAATGAGCAAACTATGAAGCTGACTCAGAGTCAAAAGAGAATAGTGGACACAATATAACGTGACGATATCAGCTTGAGCCCTTGTTCTGAGACAAGCAAAACAGGTATGAAATTTTTGGCTTGTTTGCTGATAACTTCAGTATTCAGAAGGTGAGGCATTGATGAAGTGGTATTCTGCTCCTGATTATGACCAATGAGAAAGGAACGATTATTGATATAGAGATGATGGAGATCTTGGGAGGAAGTGACTATGCTATCCCATAGCTGCAGATAGAGAAGGGGACATCAGGCATGAACATTGGAATAATTGGTTTTCTTTTTTAATTTACAAAAAGGAGATTGAGGATGGCATAGCCAAGATTCTGTAGGATAAGCTGTTTTGAGACGGATGCTCTGAAGAAAGAAATCTTAAGGATATGGAAGTAATCACTTCTAATAAACAAAATGGAACAGTGTCAAGACACATAAAGCACTAAGATTCTTTTAGTGATGTCAGGAAAACCAAGGGCCAGAACAAGTTGAGGATTGTAATGAAATTCAAGGACAACAAAAAGTGGGTTTTAAAAATGATTTTATGAGTAAGAAGAAGGACAAAGAAGAGAAGACACCTGGAATGATGATAACAGAAAATGAACTCTTTTGCTTTTATTTTCTTTCTTGTGTGTGATGCTGGGCAGGTCACAAATTTTCAAGACTCTAGACAAGTGTGTAAAGCAGTAAGTTGCAAGTAAGGTTGCACTGATAGAATTTTTTTCCCTCATCTAGTGGCTCTCAATATCAATGAAATCACAGCTATAGTCCCTATTCCTATCTCTTTATCTACCAAGAAGAATGACATGCAGTTTGGGAACAGCAGAAGAATGATAAACAGGGAATCAAAATCCAAGTTAGTTGAGGAAATGATAAGAGAGAAACTAGCTGATCTCACAGTGAGTTCAAGCCATCAATTTCACAGTTGAAGTTGATCCCAGAGTAACTAAAGAATTTTGGGTGTGATTATAAAACTCTTATCAGTTTGAAGCCAACCATGTAAACAAAAAAGGGTGTCATAGAAATAGAAAAAAGACAATGCTCCTCTCAGTTTTGAGAAGGGCAAAGAATTGGAATTCTCCCTAAAACGGAAGTATAAGTTTGGCAGATTTATGTTAAGCTAGGATAGGTAGTTTATACCTTGAATGATCAGAATACAACAAGTATACTAAAGACCATAGTAATTAAATCTAATGAGATTAAATTTAATGATTAAATATGAAGTCCTCCACTTCCATTGAAAAGACCAATTATCCAATATTATATTTGACTGGACACCAACTAATGGGGAAGAAAGAGCATTTTAGTTGCTGCCTATTTCCTCCAATGGGGGAGGAGTGGGGAGGCAATTTGTGGGGAAGAGAAGGAAGCAGAACAGAAGAAATGCCCAAAATTTGAAAAGAGAACTTTTACTTATGCTCCCTAGAAAAGACTGAGGTAGACAGAAAGGAGAAAAGGTGGATATCATAGCCTAGTTAATTCTTATTAACCCAACCAATCAATAACTAGCTATTAGTGAAGTGAGGACAAGAGACTTCTGTTGCATCCACTCATTTGTTTCTATAATTTTGCTTTCTTTTACTTGTAAAAAGTTTCTTTGGAAATGTTCCAGCCCCATCTGGATTGGATTAAGAGTGAAAGGGATTTGCCTTAGTTAGGACATAGTAGATAAAGAGACTTGCTTGCTTCTAGTGATCTAGTGATAATATCAGGAAGGATTTGCATGTGAGCCCCAGGATGAATTGATTGTACTGGGGCTGATAGATAGTCAGAGGAGAGTTAGAGACAGATGTGAACAAGGTTCTGTCTGATATTTTTCTTCATGGGACCATTTGCAAATATATGCCCTTGCATTAAACTACCCCTGGTCATTATTATCCCCAAATCCCTAGCATGTTTGATGCTGGACTGGGCTCTGTATCTAGCAAGGAGTGGACTAGGCTCAGGGAGCCAACCCATGAAGACATTCCCAAGCCAAAGCTGCTTCTCTTTCCTAAGAAGTCCTCAAAGCCCTCAAAGTTGGCAGGGAGCTCTGAGCTACTTCAATGTGTATATGAGTAGAAATCTGTCAAATCCCTGAGAAGTAGTTATCCAGCCTGGTTTATCTGGGTCAGATGAAAATAGTCTTCACTGTCACTTCCTACTGATAAATATCCCCTTCTTTCTGGTCAGCAGGGACCAGTCTTGGTCAAGAAATATCCAAGACTAGCCCCAACTAGGGCCTTTACCTGTGATGTCTGGACATTTCTAGGTCTAGAATTCAAGGATTGTAACAAACTACCACCCTTAACTGCTCCATGGCTCATCTGAGGCCATGAAGAAGCACCTCCCCTCCTCCTCCTCCTCTTCCTCCTCCTCCTCCTCCTCATGGATTAAGCCCATCTCTAGAGTTCCTTGAAATTCAAGGACTTTATAGCCAGCATGGGACTCTCTTTCCTTTATTCCTTACAGTGCTCTGACTGTTGTAGTCCATCTGTCTATGAGACCTAATAATGCTCGATAAATGGACAAAAGACAAGGAGTTGCCTCAAGAGGTACAACCATTGTCTCAGATCAAACTGCCCTTCTTCATTAAACCTTCCTCTAATTGATTCTGACTGGTTGGGTTCACTTCACCCAGGACTCAAGGCAATCACAACGTCCAGATACTCCAAGTTTTCTCCTTTGTGTGCTCCTGTGTATTTCTTCAGCTGGTATTCAGTCTTCCCATCAAACTAGGAGTTCCTTAAAGTCATGGGCTATGCCTACCCCCATCAGGCTAGTTAGCTCCCAGAGGGTTGAGGACAGGATCTTTCCCATGAACCTCCATCACACCAGGGATTGAATGAGGGGAGTTTGTGCCTCCCTTTTCAGATGAGGCTAAGGACTAAGTATGCAAAACTGACTCAGAGCTCCATATCCCTCTCCTCCCTCCCCCAGACTCACCAGCTTGTGTTTCCCTGAAAGCAAACAGCACCAAAAGAAGCATCCAGGATGAGAATGACCCTCTCCTCCACCAAGTTACCATCTTGTTCTGTAGGTGACTGTTTGGGCTTCTCAATATCATCCCACTTATGGGAGCTACCAGTCTCCAAGCCCCATCTGCCTTACAGTGCTTAAGTTCAAATAAAGCTTCTATAAAGAAGGAAACCCAAGGGCTTCTTCCTCCTGGTGCTGGATCCTCCGAGACCCAGCTCTCTAATCATTTCCAGTGAAGATATCTGTCACCAGGCAGAATCTTCTCTTTGCTGGTATGAGTGGAAGTGAAACAGAATCTATGGTGAGGACAGGAAACTCTTGAGTGTTATCATATTCAGGTGCCATTAGGGAGCTCCAGAGTGGAGTATGGAACAATGTCATGGGCACAGCTGGCATTGCAACTGTTGGTTAAATTAAAGAAACTCTAGCTGTGATCAGGGAGATCCACCCTCAGGGAGATAGTCCCCAGTCAAGTGAAAGAGATAGTCCTGTCCTTAGGGAGTCTGATCTAATGAGGAAATGTAGTCTCTATCCTCAGTGGTCCCTTAGTATAAAAGTGGAATAAAGCTCCCTACTTTTCTTGATCCCCTAATCTGATTGGTTAGACACTGCCTTCAGGGAGTCCCCACTAAAAGCATAAATAGTTCTGGATAACAACATTGTAACTAAGTCAACTTTGATTCCTCCTTCTCCCTCAATCTACAACTCTTATCAGTTGCTCAGTGGTGTTGACTCGACCTACCTTTTGATACCATATGGCCCACAGGATCTAGAGAGGAACACTGGGTAAGAAGTACTCCGGAACAATATTAAGTTCCACTACTGAGGACTTGGCTGTCAAAGATCTCAGGGTTTGGATACTGTTCTGTCCCTCTGCTCACCCTCTTCATCCCCATAAAAATGGGTGAAGTAGGGAAGGGGAATGAGACATGAGTTCTCATATTTCACAGACATACCCACTCTACTAACTGCCTTCTGGTCAGTACTGTTTTCCACACTTCTTGTATGGACCCCACCCCCTGTCCCTTTATTAGGATTGTAGTAGCTTTCCCTGCAATGTATGTGTGCTCTACACATTCTCCGAAACCAAAGTGAAAGTTTCAGAGTGTACTTCACAGATGTTGACAATTATAAAAGACCATCTCATTCAGCCTGCAGCCTCTACTTAGGACCATTCCAACTCTTCAACCCTTCCTTCCCCATCAGGCCAATAATAGGCCCCACCCCAGGCCTCACTTGCTCATTGTTTGAGTTTTGATGGCTCAAAGCAATTGTAAATAGCAATTGTTTCTGTTCTAGTTAGAAACTCTAAGAGCCTTCTGTTCCCATATTGATCTTTGGGAAGGCAAACTGGTCCATCTTTTGCCTCAATTCTGGCCTAACTTTTAATCACTGAATGGGTGTTGTCTCAGACAAACTGAGACCTGAGAAAGACCTTAGCTTAAAAAGGCCAAGGTGTCCCATTCCATTCGGGGCCATTACCAGTCATCCTGACCTGAGTCTAGCCACTGGACTCCCGATGACTCTGAAGGACAGAGTGAAGCTGATGACTTTGCACAGCTCTGCCTCACTTAAATCCAATTCAATTCCAAGTTAAGACATCACGCTCCTGATGTCATTGGTCCTCTTAGAGAATAAAGAATCAACAACAATCCTCACCAGTTTGAAGAATCCCTGAAGGCCATAACCTTGTTTCCCTGTGTAATGCCCCTTCAAGGCTCATTCACTTACCTAACATTACCATTGGCCACTTGGGCCCCTCTAAGGGGTTCAGGGGCAATCTTGTGAATGGCTACTTTCACATATTTTATGCCTCTTGTTATCAATTAGCCAGTAGATTCAGTTAAATCTTTAGCAGAAACATTTACTCAAATGGAATAGTAAGAACTGGATTTTCCTGTTGTACAGCAGTCCTTTCAGATGGAGGATTACTGTTGAGGTCTAGGGGTGCTGGGAACCTTGAAATTCAAGGGCAGAAGATGCAGATCCTGCCTCGAAGTAATTCAACTCAAGCCTTCTTTCAGTCAGACGCAAGGTTTATTAAAACGCCAATTGAGGTGAGCAAGATTTTAAGAATCCGCGCAATTGTGACACTTGTATTGACAAATGGACCAGACTCTTAAGGAATCTGAGCCTTTGTGATGAGAATACAACCAGGCTAGTCTCTTGAGGAATTTGAGCAATTTAATGTGGGGCAAGATGAACCTTATATATAGAAAGACTGTGAGAAGGAGTGGCCAAGTAGTCTGGGGTAACTGTGAGATAACAGAGAAGGACCAGAAGGGCTAGGTGCCCCAGGCAAAAGCCAGGGACCTGGGCCATGTAGAAGGAGTCTAGATGGAATTAAGGGTGGGAAGTGGCCGGGGGTGATCCAGAGGTAACAGACTATGACGACGGGGTAGGCTAGGTTAGAGGTAACAGAGAATTGGAGATTGGGGCAAGGTCAAAGCCACAATACAAGGACAGTTGAAAGGATCATACTGAAATGAGCCTTAGCTAAATGCTAGGTGGAAAGTCTGGGGCTTTTTAGGGGTCCATCATTAGCACCCCATCATTACCATGCTGGATGGCTACAAAAGCTCTTTAAGCTAGACTAAAGAAGCTTAGCTTAGGCAGACGCTTCTTCTTTTGATCCCTTTCAGAGCCTCAGCTTCGACGTTGTTATCTCCAAGAAGGAATTGGAAAAATCTCTTTTTAAACAAATTCTTCCCATTCAAAAGCCCCTACTCTCCATAAATGACTTTATGTTCTCTTCAGGTAATCAATATTTTTCACCTCCCATAGTTCTTTGGAACTCTTTTGTAGATGAGGGGCTAGAGAGACAACTGTGTGAATGGTCTATGATACTGGAGGCAAAGTTCATTATGTTGCTGCCCTCTTCATATACAATTAAGTTATTCAAGCCTTCCACCCTCATTGGCAGAGAATGATGGCTCAGTGCTCTATGCCTATGTGAGAATTAGATTTGGTGAGAGCTGGAAAGAAGAAAGATCCTGGGCTTCTGTCTTCTAGCTTTGAGAGAGAAGAGTCTCCATTTCTGGCTGTCTTTGAGTCCCTGGAGGAAGAAAGAGTCTGGAAAGATGGCATTTAGGGAAGCCACTATTTCAATCATGTATATAGTCTCAGTTTGCTACACTAGAGACTTCAGGGAATTTCCCCTCAGATGATATCTGAACTGAGTTATCTCATTCCCAGTGAGAAAGTTCATTTACTCTGTATTGTCTAGTCTTTGTTCTCCTATGTATATTTGCTCTAATTTCTTTTTGCTATTAACTTGGATAAATAGGTTTACTCATTGTCTGCTACATGTGTTCATTATGGAACTGTCATTTGGTGAGAATGGCATCAAGCTATGTGTATATAACCTGGGTTTCTCACTTTCCATTAAAGAAGAGCAAACAGGAGCACAGCTTAAACTAAAAATTTATTTCCCCTAGACTAATAATATTTAAGGGAACAGATAGATATAATTGTAGCCCACATTTCCCCAATCTCTGAGGAGAAGAGGGTAGCCAGCCTCTGATCCCAGTCTCTTGGTGGCAATGAAAGGTTCCTTAGAAAACAGTGGAAGAGAAAAGATTCTAGAGATATCTATTCCTGTCTCTGTACAAGCCACATCTAGACAGACCCATGAGAACACACATGACTTACACGGGCAAAACAACACGGCACAAGCCTACACCACCCCTTACATAAAGAAAATTTTATGAAGCATTTATAAGGATCTGGCAAATACAGAATATTCTGGAAAGACTTACCTGCAATGATTGAAGAGAAAGTAGAAGGAAAGAACTTACCTAACATATCTTGAGAGATTGAACTTAACTCATCTTGCAGTTTGGTAGAGTGGACAGAGAGCAAACCTCAAAGCCAAGAAGACCTGCATTCGAGTCCTGGCTCTGTCACATACTGGCTATGTGACCCTAGACAAGTCATTTAAACTCTCAGAGGTCTTGGCAACCTTCAAGACTAAAGTTTCAGAGAAGGTACAAATCTGAATTTGTAGAAGTTTCCCTACCTGGGAATTCTACACATCAATTAGATCACAGTTTCAGGCCCCCTCCCATCAGATCAGTGCCTCAACTGAGCTAAAGAGTAAATTTAACTCAAACTGAAGAGAAATTCTTGGCATATTGAGCATGTGAAATGACTTTGGCTGTGAACTATTTTGAACCAATGTGTTACAAATAAATATGTATCTATAAATGTAAATATTTTTGTTTTATTATTAGTTTCATTGCATTTGAATAACTAATATTGGGAAAGGAGGTTTCTTCAATTAATAAAATAAATAACGTTTGATGAACTGAAGTTGAGGCTTGAGGATTGAGCCAACTCATTAATTAATGAAAAAGAAGATGAATTTTATTAATTAATAAGAAATTATACAATTATAACTCTCATTTAGAGTTCTGAATGATAAAAATTGCATGTAATATATAAAAAGGAATCAAATTACCGACAGAAAAGTAATACAAGAGTCAGTGTGATTAAACAGACATATTGAGACATATACATATATATACGTGTATGTAGAGAGAGACATATACATATATATGAGACATATACAAACATATATATATATATATATATACACAGATAGAGAGATACACACATATTTATTTGTAAGTTATATACATGTTCCATAGTACTAATGTATCACACACATTATAAAAAATATTATGAAAATTTAAAAGATGAAGAAATAAATATCTTAAATTTTTAATTTTTTAATAGCACAAAAACAGTTTGTACCATTATAATTAAGAAGAATTAGATATGTTTCATTATTTTTTAAAATTTTTGATTTAATACCTTGTGATACAGAAAGTCAAAGGTAGGTCTGGTTTTCAGTACATTGTTGAGAAATCTAAGTTGCATGGGAAGGGCTCTCAGCCAACGAGGAGTAGATCCTTCTTTGTTAGGACATTGGTAACATTTCTTTTCCCAACATTCAAGTATTTCTTTTTAAATTAAATTAAAATTTTTTTGCACTTAAAGTTTCAAATGGTCTCCTTCCCTCTATAATCACCCCACACTAGAGAAGTCCACCATTTGACACAGATAAATTTTGTATATACATATGTA